TTGAGCCCTGGGCAGTTCCATGGCTTTGCCAGCCATCCTTGAGACCGTGGAGCTTTCATGTCCTGGAATGGCTGCAATGCTTTGAGCCTGTGTCCATTCCTTGGAGCTGCTCACACCACTGGGGTCACAGAGCTGTGGTGTCCCCAGCACAGCCTGGAGTGGGTGATGCTGGTTGGCTGGGTGGGTGTGGAGCAGCTGGAGCCTGGGTGCTGGGTGCCAACAGGGGGTCTGGGCATCCCTAAGCTCCATGATCAGCCCTTGTATTGTTTCTGAGGTGGTTGCAGCTCGTTGTGAGCCATGCAGAGGGAGAACGTGGGGTCAGTATGCAGCCCTCTTAGGGAGTTTAATGAGAGGGGCTCAGCCCAAACAGTGCCAATGGGCAATAGAAGTGCAAAAAGAGTTATTTTGTCTGTCCTGGTGAAAGGGAAGGGAGGTTCATCCCTGGCTGTGGCGTTCTCCAGCCTCCAGAAGCTTTCAGGTTGTGTTTTCCTTTGCTCGCTTCCTCGTCCCACTCGTCCTTGGTCCACCCATTATGCGGCCATAGAGAGCTTGGAGAGGGGAACAAGCCTCTGGCAGCTGTGTGTTACCTCTGCCCTTGAGCAGTGGAGTGGCAGGAAGACCAAAGCACAGGTGTAGCATTGGGATGTAGGCATAAAGCACTTGGCCAGCCCACCTCAGGTGCTTCAGGAGATGCTGTTAAGATTGGAGCTCTGTGTTGGTGCTGGGAGGAGCAGTGTCTGTGCTCAGGGCAGGATCGCCTGGCATGGAACAGATGAATGTGTCAGTGCTGATCAGGGTGAGCTGTGGTGCATGCAGGCTGTGCCGCACTGCCAGGACCTGGGCTTGCCCCAGTGATGTTCCTTCATTAGCGCGTTGTGACCATGCTCCTCACCCATCTCGCACCAAAGATGCTCCCCAGTATCCACTGGTGCCAGGAGCTGTGTGCTCACAGCAGGGCTCTGACACGGGACAGCTGTTCCTGGTGCACACGTATGGCTCTCCCTGAGGTTTTACACCCTTGGCAAAGAAGCAAAGAGGATGTCCATCTGTCCACCTTGCTTAGATGCTTCTGTTGGCATCTCTCTACTTGGCCTCTGACCCAGGAGCTGTTAAAAACGTGTAGAGTCCAAATTCTATGTATCTCCAGAGGCATTTCCTTCTAAGTGTTGTGATTACACCCGAGATGATGCAAAGCAAAGCAAACTGAAAGGCAGAACAACTTTTCACTCTAATCCATTCCAGGAAAGTTATAAAAATCAAGCAGATATAAGTCAGTGCCTGGCTTCTTGTGCACAGGCCCAGAGTCACAGTCACTCTGCCCTCTGTCCCTGGGGCAAACAGCCTTCCTGCAGACAGGGATTTGTCAGCTCTGGAAGCTCCTGCTTCAGCCCCATCACTAGTTGAGATGGAGGTGGGTTTGTGTGTGAGCGCAGTCCAGTTGCTGCAGGTCTCAGCGGCCTGCAGCACGTTTATTGTGTCTGGATGAGGTGCATAATCCCCAACCCTGAGTGGGATGTGTGGGGGGTGTGAACCAGATGCAAATCTTGGGGCTGCCAGCACGGAAGGAACGGCACGAAAGGAACCAACCCAGTCCTCGTGGGAACACTGCAGGATGAGGCTCCCTCCCTCTGTAACGTGCTGACGAACCTCCTCCATTTGCATTTAATTGCAGCTTTTCTTTCTATTGGAAGTTTTGGAAAATGGTCACGTTTTGCAAATCCCGTCTTCATCCCAGCCAATGATACCAACAGAAATGAAGGAGAAGGGGTGATGCTCTAAGAGCACTGCCCACGGGTGACTGGCATAGTGCCCTTGGGCTGACACCTGCCTTCCTCCATCAAGCAGGCACATTGGCTGAGCCCTCTGCCAGCCAGGGCAGGAAAGAAATTGTTGTTTTTTTTGTTTTTATTGCTGGGCAGCAGGAATGTGCTGGTGAATTAACCATGCCCTCAATTCTATAGGGAATGGTAAGTAATTTATGCCCTAAGGAACAGGAGGTTGCTGCATGCAGGGAGGAGAGGAAACAGGGCTGTGCATTCAGGTCACATTCAATGAGGGCTGTCAGATCTCTTCCATCTAAAATGCTTCATCACACTATTATTATTTACTGAGCCCTGCTGCTGCTTGGAGCTTTACAAACAAAAAAAGGTCCGAGCCCCTCGTCACTTGACAGCATGAGCAGCAAAATGCAGTAGAGCTAGAAGTGCCCCAGACCTCCTCCAGCAGGCTGCACAAACCCTGTGTGTTGGAAGGCTGCAGGGAAGGTGGGACTCGAAGAGGACCTTGAGGAGTGAGGGGGTCGCTGCACATATGCAGAGAGATTGATCTAGGCACAAAGCCAGCAAGGCAGAGGACAGCTGTTGGGAAAATCTGGGCAGCAACAGGAGCTGAAAGGAATAGCAGTGAAGGGGAACGAGGCTTGAAGGTCAAGATTCAAGAACTTTCTGGTTTCTGGAGGCTCAAAGAAGTGGAGCCTTTACCACCAATGTAGTGGAAATGCTAAGTCATGGCTTGATGCAGTGATGGAGCACCTGGTGGGAAGGCAGGACCAACCCAGGGAAGCTCAGGTGCATGTAATGTGCCTGAGTGACTGGAAGGGGTGGAGTCAGAATCCAGCCCTTCCCAGACCTCATTTAAGGGTTGGCAGTGGAGGCATCTCTTCCTGGTGATCCCTGCCTACCTGAGGCTTCTAAAGGTATGCAGATCTTTTCTTTCCTTGCTGTGGTTGCAGCTGCTGCATTTGGGCTCGTTCTCATTTGCTGCAGCCAGAGACTTTGCTACCCTGTTAGTTTTATGGTACTTTCTGTCCTTTTATAGCATTGCATACCAGGAAAGGCGCAAATCTTGGAATATTTGCAAGTGGAAGTCAGGGCTAAAATCCAAATGTCTTTCCTCGTGGTATCTGGAATAGTTGGCCACAGGAGGCAAATGGGGATTTCCTGGTCTGAATTCCTTCTGATCATGTGTGACTTTGTTTTAAGCAGCCACTTGCATTCAGCATCTCCTGGGTCCCATCTGGAGCCTGAGTGGGAAATTGTGCTCCTAGCAGTATTTTGAGATGTAAAAGTCAGTAGTGTGGAATGGCTGCGAAGGATGCTCAGCGCGCAGCGAGCGGGCTAGACAAAATATGTCCTTAGGGCTCACCACTGTGTGAGCGAGGCAGTGTGATGTGTGATTTGTGGGCTATTAGTAATTCGACAAAGAGGCTGCAGTGGGGCTCGCTGAAGGACTCAAGCTAGATCTGCAAAAGCCTCTGTGGTATTATCATACAGAGCACTTCTCCCCATCATTTGCGGAGTTGAATTAATGTCATAAATCATGGGGCACGTGACAGACTGCATTTAGTTAGGCTGCCTCTTCTATATCCTTCCTGGAAACTCATCTAATAAGAGCTGGCCTCTGGCATGCCAAGGTTCAAACATCCACCATGTGTTAATTGCTGGCAGTAGAAGTACTGCTGTTTTTTTTTTTTGGTTTTTTTTTTTTTGCCTTGAAATGTGGAATCCCTTCCTAGAATAGCACTGGGGACCAATAAAAGCCAGTGCCAGGTTTAATATATGCTATCTCACAAATTATCTGGACTAAATACAAGGACTGTGCACTACCAGAGAGGGGATATTCCCAGCTTAACACTGCTTCTGGGCCATGGAGATCCCAAGACATTGGACCTGAAAATTATGATTCTTTTACGTGTGTGGGAGTGGTTTGGCAGGAGAGCTTGGAAGTGGTCATATTTCCCTGAGCTAGGGAATTAATTGCCATAAAAGCTATGGTTTAGTAACCAATAGTTACAGCTGCTGGAAAGATCAGAAGGCATCCAAATAAATCAAATTAACTACCTCCTGTTCCATCCTTATGAGAGCTGAACCTTTCTGGGCAAGATCAGAAACGCAGTTCATCTGACCCCTAACTCTGCCACTTACAGAACCATGAGGGTGAAACGTCCAGAAATACAGACAGCTAAAACAGGAGAAGGTGGAGACTGCCTTTCTGGATGACGTGAGGAGGTGGTTCTCTGTTAGGAAACTTATATTAGAGGAGAGCAGTGAGGCAGTAGCCCGCTCCTGAGAAAGTCTCAGATTCATTGAGGCTGTTGGGCTGTGCAATGTGACCACCCACGTTACTGGGTAGCCAGTGATTCCTGTTAACTGCAACACTAGCTCTACTGTGACTTGCTTGCTCCTCACCAGACTCTCAAGCGTCTGATATCCCAAGGCAGAGGGCTCGCCTCCCCTCGTAGCTCGCGTTTACCAGCATTTTCCCGTGCAGCTCTGGCCATTGCTCTACACACGAGTCTTGGAATGGTGCTGTAAATCCTAGCACGCCCTGGATTTCGCGCTGTTTGCTGTTGTGTGCTGGTGAGAAACGTCAGCCTTACGATTAGCCCGAATGTACTCTTCTTTTGCCTCGTTCAGAAGACAAAGACCTCCCCGATGTGGGGATGCTCCACGGGAAGGGCCTGCAGGTACGACGGGCACCGCGCCTTCAGGAGGTTGCGGTGCTGGACAGCTCCGGCTCAGCGCGGGACCCCGGGGTGACGAGCGCGAAGGGCGGCGCTGGCAGCGGCCCGGGTTGCGGCCGTAGCTGCTGTGCTGGGAGGTGCCTGCAGGCCCCAGGGATGGTGTGCTGCCGATATGTCCGTCCCACGGGATCTCCTTTCCAAACCCTCCTGTTTCCTCATCCCTTTGCAATGTGGATTTCTAGTTCTAGCGTTCACATGAATCGGACCTGAGGCTGGAACAGTTTCTAGTCTTTCCCATATCGCTTGCTGCAGCTGAGACCACGTGTCTGGGGAATACGGAGGAGACCCATGCCTGAGCAATGCTGTGTCCCCATATCCAGCCCAGGCTGCTGGCCACGTGGAGGAAGGGCAAGGACAGAACCCTTCCCAACCTGCCCTCTTCTGCCTGGCCTGGAAGGGCTGTGGAGGCATGGCCAGGATGAGGCCGTGCAGTGCAGCGGGCTGTGTTTGGTGACATCCCGCTTTTGTCTCCCCACAGGCCAACCCTGCTCCCATTATCGTGAACACAGACTCGCTGGAACAAGGGCTCTCTGTAAGTCTCCTGGTTTTGTTTCAATTCTTTTCAACAAACGCTGCATTTTCTTGGCTCAAAGGTGCCCGAAAGACCCCAGCAAGATGGCAGAAGGGTCTGGTATCTGTGCCACAACCCCACATCGTATCCCAGCCCCAAACCCTGCTGGGGCTGTGCTGAGCAGAGCCATGGCTGCCTGCAGCTGAGCAGTGCTTGGTGATGGAGAGTGTTTGCAGCCACTGTGCATTTGGTACTCTTGGCTTGCTGTAGAGGTAATCCTCAGCTGGTTGCAGAGAGAGTTTGCAAGCTGCTGCAGCACTCACCAGAGCATTTGCAAATCATTCCTGCAGGGAGGATGGAAGGAGCAAGGGTGGCCACTGTGGATATCTGCAGCACAGCTCCCAGAAGGGAGCTTGGTTATCAGTTTGCCAGGGCTTGGTTGGTCTTTGGACTTGAGGTGGATGGATTGCTCCTTTTGGTTGAGCCTTTCTCATAAAACATTTCAGGTGTCAGATGCTGAGCCAAAGCCTCCTGCACTCAGGTGGGAGTCCGTGCTTTCTGTCTCAGCACAGTGGCCCTGGGTCCAGCAGCCTTACAGAAGTTGTGGCAGGAGAGTGTTGTCATCTACAAAGGTTTCCTGCCCAAGCCCATCACATGGCAGTCTATGACTGCAGGAAGCGTTGAAAGGGATCTGCATTCCTGCAGCCCACTGGGTGGCTATGCCTCGGTTTTTGGGGCTGCAAACTTCAGCCTGGAAATCCTCTTTCCTTCTAATTCTTGCCACAGCAGTGCAGAAAGCAGCCAACGCAGTGCCAAAAAATGGCTTGTGAAGAACCCGTGTCCCACATAAATGTGGTCCTTCTTTGGAGCGAGGGTGAACCCTGCTCCATCCTGGCACCTGAATCATAAGGTTGGAAATACCACTAAAATCATCTAGTCCAACCATCAACCCATGACCATCATACCAGTAAACAGTGTCCCTCAGTGCAGCATCTACCCTGTTCTTGAACAGCCCCAAGGGATGATGATTCCACCACCTCCCTTGGCAGCCTGTGCTGGTACCTCACCAATCTTTCTGAGAAGAAATTTTTTCTAATATCCAACCTCATGGAGATCCAGGCTCTGGGGAAAACAAACCTTAACATCTCCCACTGGCTGTTCCAGGGGTCAGCAAAGGAGCCACAGTGGGGGCTTTCTGCAGAAGAGCACTCTGAAGTGGGAAGTCTGGCAGCATGCTCTCTTACGAAAACAAAAGCTGAAGCCTGTTGGTACAGTATTTGGAAGGGTTAATGTGACAGCTTCCAGTCTTTAATTACTTAACTATTCAATGCTTTCCTTAATGATAAACAGATGGATGTGGTCTAGTTCCTTCCTGTTCTAGCTCCATTGATAACATTGGACTAGCTGCTGGGCTGAATTTGGCCCTGGCTGTTTATTAAGAAGCTTGCTCCACATTTGTGTCCCTCTGCCCACCCACCTCCATCCCCAGGAGCATGTGGCACCACATCCTGCTCACTGCCAGGGCTGGTGCTCAGCTTCACTGCAGGCTGTGCTCCTAGGTTGTAAAAATCCAACAGATTTTTTATCAGACTCCTGCTGCATTGAAGGCATTGCAGTCGAGCTGGACTCATACAAGCACCTGCTCACAGCCAGTTCCCCACTTAGTGTGCTTTGCACACCCAGGCCCCAGGCGTAGAGGAAGCATCAAGAGCACTGTTCCCATGGCAAGCAGCACTGTCTGTGTCCCAGAGCTGCCTCTTCGAAGCTGAACCCCTTGTGTTGTGTCCCCAGTGCTGCCCAATCCTGGTGCTGATTGTTGGAGCTCAGCCACGCGCCCAACCTGCACTCAGCACACAACTGTCCCCTTAATGTGGTGGCTGCAAGGCATGGACTCAGAAAGCAGAAGGATGACTGTTCCTGCAGGTTATTCTCCTTGCAGCCATTTGGGTTGGTTTGAGGAACTCCATCTTAGCCTTCTAAATTTGGCCCTTAATCATTAGCAAATTGCAAACCGTGTTCCACGTGCGACAGCACAGTGTTGGCTGGCTGAGCCTGCAGACAGCTTGCAGTAGCACTGGAAGGTGTGTGCATTTCTGTTTATTCAGTGAGTGTTAACTCTGCAGCCTTCTGTTGATGATTTAAATGTCATCATTTCTAACTACTTCCCTGCTGCTCAAAAAGTGAAAGAGAAGTGAAGGCTGGAGAGAAGGCCTTTCCTTGAGACTTCAGGTGGGCTTCCTGCATGGGACGGGCTTAGAGCAATGATCCTGGCCCTACTTTGTTTGAAACCAGAGCAGAGTTTGGGTTCACGGTGGGGCTGTGTAGGGAACAGCCAGTGAGCTGTGAGCTAAGCAAGAGAAACCCCTGAGAAATGCGAGCAGAGTGGGGTGGGCTCACCCTGCCTCACAGCAACCCAGGGACGTGGTTCAGGATACCCATGTGAAAGCCTGGAGCTGGGCATCACCCATACAAGCCCCACACGAGAGCCACACGTGCCAGCTCTGCAATGCTCTTAGCATGGAGGCAGCTCCTGAACTGGGAGGGAGCGTGGCAGAGAGTTGGAGGGGCAATAGAGGCGCTCTGGGTTTTGCTGTCAATGAGTAACCGGTATTCAGTTTTCCTGTGCTGGAACACTAGCTTTGTTGGCTTGTTCCCTTGGTTACGTGGTATATATTAAGGGCTCCATTTGGTTTCTTCATGCAATTAACTGGTGTTCTATTGTGCGGATTTTGGAGACGTAATCGGAGCAGGAACTTCACGTCCAGGCTTGGCTGACCTGGCACATGCAGTGCTGGGCAGGTGCCAACGTTTCCCATTTCATGACACAAAATGCTGCTCAGCATTGACAACCCCAAGACTTTCAGAAGGTTTTGCAATGGGGCCACGTCCTGGGGTGTCCCTGTGTCCCGTGCCGTGGGTCCCTGCCCTGGTGCTTCCCATTGCGGGTGGCTGCCGCTCTCTGGGCTGGTTCTGCTGGCTCTCCCCGCGGCTCACAGATTGTCAAAGTTTTCTGCACATCCCCATCCTGTAGGTATGTATGTGCTGTTCCTCTGCGGCCGTGGGTGTGCATATGGCTGTCTGTGTGGCAATAGCGTTGAATGCCAAAGCGGAGAGGACAACGTGTGTAGTAGCGGCGGCTGCCAGGAATCTGAGTTGCTGGAAAGCTGGGGGGAGGCAGAGCCATGCACAGAGCCACCAACTGCCTGGGGACTCAGGCGAGGGAGGTGGCGAGGGGGGCTCGGCATGAGTCAGTGTGGTGGGGTGAGGAGGAAGAGCGGAGGTGGGGGGTCTTGCAGCCCCCACCCAAAGAGGTTTCATCCTCCCCTTCCTGCACTGTGCTGGTGCCAGGCAAAGGGATGCAGCATCTGTGCCCCTGGGATGTTCCTGCAGCTGTCGATCATAGAATCTTAGAATTGTTGGAGTTGGAAGGGACCCTTCAAAGTCATCTGGTCCAACTCAATACCTTAACAGCACGTCCCAAAGCTTTCTTTCCACCCTTATGCCCCATCTGAATCTCTTTTGTTTCAAGTTTCTTCTGTCTTTTGTTTCTGTTCCCTTCTGTCACTCTCAGTGGTCACAGTGGTCCTGCAAGGCTCTGGGGCTGACAGTGTTCAACTCCCACCAGCCTGACACGTCCCAGCGGGTTCCTCTTCAACCACTGTTTGCATCTGCCTTTTCAGTCCAATTTTTCCTTCTGTCAGTTCTTTGAGGCCAAACCCACCTCAGTGCCTTCAACCTCCTCTCCTGGCCCACGTTCCCAAGCCATGATGCCATCTCCCTTCTCCACGCTCTCTCCATCCTCATCCCTCTTGCAGCATGGTACCCACAGTAGAGCGTGCTCTCCTTCAGCATTCCCAATGCTCACTAAAAACCCATGGCATTGCTCTGAGGACTGAGCCCCATTCCTGCTGCCTTGCAACCCCACAGCCTGCTCCCTCATCTCCCAAAAGGACTTCAAGTGTGAGGTTTGAGTCAACCTCTTCCCATTTTAAATATACAATTCTTTTTCAGCATTTTTTTTTTCCCCATATTGAGGTCTCCATAGCTGTTCAGGACCTACTCTGATGACCCGGGGCCTGCAAAGGAAGCAAGTATCTGGATGATGTCTTTGAAATTGCCACCTTCTTTTTCTGAGTGTTGGCAGCGATGGGGAAAATGGAAGGTTTTGGCCTACACGCTTTGCTATTTCAGAGCCTACAGCTGCAGCTCTTTTGCTTTTAATTCACTGCCCATTTCTCAGTCCCTGCCCTCACCACCGCATCCCATCACCTTCACCACGATGGCTGTGGGAGTTCCTTCAGGGCAGGGAGCAGCATCCACATGGCTTTCCTATTTTTTTATATCGGGGCACCTTCTGTATATCGCACTCCTTTTGTGTCCAACTGTTTCAACAGAAGAGATGGTTCTGAGTTCCAATTAACAAAGCCATGCTGCTGGAGGATGTTAGTTAGGAGTTAGAGGCTACCAGAGATGTACGTTGTGTTATAACACACAGATCATCCACAAGCCCTTCCTTTGCTTCCTGCAGCAGTGCATTCCCTAGGTTAATTACACGCTGGCTAACGAAGGCGTCGTTGCTTTGTGTGGAGCCCCTTTTCACGCCTCGCACATTGAGCTGCCGGAATAAAAGGGCTGAGCTGAAGTGCATTAAAGTCAGCGGGTTTGGGATCGTGCCCAGAGAGAGAAGCAGCGAGTGGTTGGATTTCAGGGCAGGGTTGTGCGACTGCATTTCTGACAGCCCAGGTTTTGGGGTGGATTCTCAAATATTCCGTGTTTTGGGGTGGACTCTCAGTACTGCAGTATCCTGGGATGTGCTCGGCCATAACGCATCTCTCCCTCTCCGCAGGTGAACGGCAGTGATGGGATGTTCAAATACGAGGAGATCGTCCTGGAAAGGGTGAGTCCTCCCCATGGGCATCTCCTCCCACTCACACAGCGAATGGGCTGGGGGGGTTTTGGGGGGGGGGGGGGGGGGGGGGTCCATCTCTCCTTCCCTGCAGCACAGGGGTGGGCTCACCGCTCCGCTCCCCCCGCGCACCCCTCCAGAAGGGAGGAGGAGGGTTTCTCGTTCACACCCTCGCCCCCTCACAGCCGCCAGCGCAGAGCTGGGGGGGGGGGCTCTTTGTCACCGGCTTTGCTGGAAAATGGAGGCAGGAGGAGCTGCACTGGCGCACAAAAGGGGGGGGGGTTCTGTCTCTCGCCTCCGTGCCCCGGTGCCCCCCCTGCCCCAGCCGATGGCTCTGCCTCGCCGCAGGCACAGAGTGCCGTGATGCTGAGCAATGAGGACAGGTTTTCTGGCAGCCTGGATTGCGGCGGGGCGGGGGGAGCTCCTGGCTGTATCTTCTGCTGTGTCGGTGGGATCCTGGCCATGCAGCGCTGATGTTGGGATAGCGGTGGTTTTGTGGGGATGGGGACGTGAGCAGAGGGTCAAGTAGGGGCTGTGAGCACAGTAGGAAAAGATGGAGCAGACTTGGCTGCAATGCATCAGCCCCATGGGGTAAGCGCAGAGCTGCATGGTCCACCCCTGCACCGCTGCATGCCCCATCCCACCCCACACCCAGGAGCTCCAGCACCGTGCAGGGCCTCCTCCTCACACTTGGCTGGCAGCGCAGGGGAAGACGCATCACTCGTCCTCCTGTTCTTTTAGTCATCCCCCTCCTCCCCCCCGGCTCTGCATCACGGAGGTGGGTGGACGGAAGGTTATCCGGGGCTGCAGCCTCACCCACCGCTTCCCCATTGCGCCTGACAAAGCGTGCCCAGGGGATGCTTCCTTTTTGGGCTGAGTGCTGCTGTGTGCTCCGGGCTGCCAGAGGGGCAAAAGCATTGTGTTCCAGGGATGAGAACCCTCAGCCACGGCAATGGGCTTGCCCTTGCTGTGAAGACAAGGGCAACCATGGCAGATTTGGGGAGCTGTCTGCAAAGAAACGTGGCAGTGGGTCAATAGGCAGTGCACGCGTCTGCTGCAGGTGATGTCCCCGCATCTCCAGCAGCCCCAGTGCCGGCAAACAAATCTCATGAACTTGATTTCTTCTAGATTATCGGAATAGTAACAAATGCCTCCTGAATCATGGCCTGAACTGGACATGCTGTTGTCAGGAGACCTCCTTTGGAGCCTCTGCTTGGATGCAGCCATCCCAGCCATGGGTCCATGCAGGGGCCCCCAGGGCTCCCCTCCCTCTGTGGATGAGCAGCACCGCCGGGCAGCCAGGACAGAACTTGGCCCGAGCGTGGCTGTGTATGAGAGGCAGGCCTGGTAGGATGTGACTAAGTGTCAGCTCTTCCGCATGAGAAAACAAGGCAACAAGCCATCTGATTTCCAAGGCAGAGCAGAAAAAAATAAACAGTAATTGTCCGCTTGCATCAAGCATGGCACTGGGAGCAGCGCTCCTAATGTGTGACAGAGCAGGGTGCTGTGAGCAAGGACTGGGCAACAGAAATACCTCTGGTGTTGGGACACTGCTGGGACACAGCGAGCACTGGGACAGGGGCTCCCTCCTTCCTCCCAGCAAGGCTTCATCTCCATCCTTACGCCTCCCTAGAGCAGATTTGGGCACCAGCAGTGCTGGGGTCAACTGGGGATATTTTGGGCCATGAGCACGTGTAATACCCACGTCTCACTGGATGTTAAGACTCAAAGTGGTCTTGCAGGAGCCACTAGGCTGCCAGCACCTGACCCAAGCCCCCCTTCTCTGCATGGGCCGTGCGGGTGGTGTCTCCTCTTGAGGATCTGCCAGCAAAGGGAGGTTTCTCCGCCAAGGACCACCCCCTCGTCCTCCAGCTCAGTCTCTCACAGAGACGTGGTGGTGAGGGAGGTCCTGGCGGCTCCCACGCTCCTGCTCCATCTGTCGGGCGCTCCGCACTGAGAGCCGGGCTGACGAGCACCCATCTTCCTTGGCCACACATCCACTGCCTGCACGGAGCAGCCCAGCCCAGGGGCTCACTGGGTTTTGGGGACAGCGTGGGACAGATGCCCCATGTGCTTTCCTGCAGGGTAACTCCGGCCTCGGCTTCAGCATAGCAGGAGGGATCGACAACCCCCACATTCCAGATGATCCCGGCATCTTCATCACCAAAATCATCCCCGGGGGAGCGGCGGCCATGGATGGACGTTTGGGGTGAGTGTGCAGGGATGGGGATTTCACCGTGCCTCCCGCTCCCACTGCACAGCTCTCAATCTGCTTTCTTCCAGCCCTTTCTCCTTGGGCAGGTCCCCTTTCCAGACATCCTCCTGCTATCAGCATCCCGTCTCCTCCCTGGCTCTGGCTCTTAACCAGTGCTGGATCCATCCTTCCCCCCTCTCCAGCATGTGGACTGCCTCCCCTGCTTCCCCCATAGCCTCCACCCCAGGAGGAGGAACCTTGCTGTCACCCCACATTTTGGCTCCGGCACATCCCAAAGCGCAAGACCCATCCAACTTAAGCAGCTCCCCTTGTGCAAGGGTCTGGGTGGCGGAGGTGACCATGGTGGCACAGGGTTGGCGATGCTGGGGAGCTCAGGATCACACCGTGTCTGTAGGGTAAATGACTGTGTGCTGCGGGTCAACGACGTGGACGTCTCCGAGGTGGTGCACAGCAAAGCAGTGGAGGCCCTGAAGGAAGCAGGCCCCGTGGTGCGGCTCGTTGTGCGGCGCCGGCAGCCCCCACCGGAGACCATCATGGAGGTCAACCTGATGAAGGGACCCAAAGGTGAGCAAAGGGGCTGCAGCAGGGAGTCCCTCTGGCATGGGGGGTGTTGTGGGCTGGGATCCTGTGGGATAGGATGCTACAAGGGGGGATGCTGTGAGTGCAAGGTGTGGGGCAGCTCCGCATCAAAGCTCACAGTGAGAAGGTGTCCCGTTGCCCAGGGTTGGCTGCAGCCAAACATCCCTCCTCTCTCTCCTCCCCTCCTGCTCATTCCCAGGACTGGGCTTCAGCATCGCGGGGGGCATTGGGAACCAACACATCCCTGGGGACAACAGCATCTACATCACCAAGATCATCGAGGGAGGCGCTGCCCAGAAGGACGGACGCCTGCAGATCGGGGACCGGCTGCTGGCGGTGAGCCCCAACCCACACCTCCACGCTTCTCCCCTGTCCCTTTTCCCAGCATCCCAACCAGGATGGGTCTGACTGCATCTTACTGTCCCTTTGCCTTGTGGCAGGTGAATAACACCAACCTGCAGGACGTGCGGCACGAGGAGGCGGTGGCTGCGCTGAAGAACACTTCTGATATGGTGTACCTGAAAGTGGCCAAGCCTGGCAGCCTGCACCTCAACGACATGTACGCGCCCCCCGACTACGCCAGCAGTACGTAGGCAGCAGCCCTGCACTGCAGGAACGGGGGGTTCCATAGCAGGGATGGGGATGACACACGCTGGAGCTGGGCTGGGCTCCACATCTACACTGAGGCCACTTCCTGCTCCTGATGCCCATCTCCTCTCTTTGCAGCCTTCTCAGCCTTGGCTGACAACCACATAAGCCATAACTCCAGTCTGGGCTATTTGGGTGGTGTGGAGAGCAAGCCTGCATACCCTGCCCCCCCACAAGTGACCCCCTCCAGGTATTCGCCCATCCCTCGGCACATGATCGGGGATGAAGACTTCACCAGGTGAGAACTGCAAATGGGCATCCCCATCCCTGCCCCTTCTCATCCTTCCCTTTCTCTGTCTGACCCAGTCCCTGCATCCTATCATGTGCTGAGTCTCTGCTGGGGCTGAAAGACTCCATTTGTGGGCTCCACGCAGGGAGGGAGGGGCTGGGGGGGGGGTCATCTTGGTAGTGCCATATCTCCTCTTGCTGTGTTCACCAGTCCCAGGACAGCTGTACCCAGGCACTGTGAGCCCCAGGGCCAGTGCTGAGCCCACTTTGGTACCAGTGGGGCTAGGGCTGGATGCTATGTGCTCCAGGGCTGATGCTCAGGTCAGGAGCAGGGCTGGCTCTGCTGTTATGAGCAAGGCTGCCATGTGGCATTGGAGTTGCTGCAGCCTCATCAGAGCTGGGATGGCCCCATTCTGTGGTGCTTTTGGATCCTAGGGCAGGAGGCAGGCAGGTCCTCTCGGAGACCCCCAGCCATCACATCCACCCCACTGAGTTCTCACCTCCCAGTGCTAAGTTGGACCCTGCTGCATGCAGTGACCTCTCTGGATGCAGCCATTCATGTGCTGCCGGGGCACCACGGGAAGATGCAGTGCTGCAGGAGCTCCGCTTTCTCCATGTGCATTGCACCACCAGAGGGACTGATTCCCAGTGCCACCACTTCATCTGTCCCTTCTCTGGGACCCCGATCCCATTTATGGATCTTTATGGGCCAGAAAGGGAGGAGAGCATCCTGACACCTGAAGCGTGGTGGGCACAGTGCAGCAGGAGGCCGCTAGAGGATGGTGCTGCCCTGCCGAGACCCCACTGCTGCCGAGCTGCTCCTGGCTGCTGCCTCCTTCCCTGCATAGACTGCTGGGAACAGAATCCCAGCATATCCTGAGTCGGAAGGGACCTACAAGGATCATCAGTCCAACTCCAGGCTACACAAAGGACCCCCAAAATTCAAACCCTGTGTGCAGCACTCAGGTCAAGGTGTCAGTGCCACAGTGTCCAGGATCCATCTGCAGGAATGTTGTCCTGCCCAGCGTGTCTGGAGCGCATACTGTGACTGAGAGCTGGGATAAGAGATTCACCTCTCCGGGGCTTTGTTTCCTCCCCTTGGTTCCTGCAGCGTCTTTTACCTTCACTGCTGGGCTCCAGCAGCAGGCAGTGCTCACACTGAGCTGACTCCCAGGCAGACACCAAAGCAGCAGCAAATCAAGGATGCGGGACTCAGCAGTGGAGCTGAGTGCTGGTAGCAGCCCTGGAATGTAGCTGAGCCTCTGTGGAACCCAGCGATCCCAGTGGGGTTTCCCCAGTCCTCTCCAGCACCTGTGCACCCCAGCCTGAGCCTTGAGCTCTGCTGAGCTCAGTATCTTCTGAAGGTCACAGGGGTCAGCCCCTGCCCCACCAGTGATACACAGCTGTAGGACTGAGTGCTGCTGGAAGGAGAGGAGGCAGCCCCGGTGCAGCGGGGGGGCAGGAAGGGGTTAAGCCCACAGGGTCTAACCGGCGCCGGAATGTCCGTCCTCTGTGCTTCCATAAAAATCCCGAGGGTGGGCATGGCATTGAGAAGCTGAGTGCCCCACGGCCACACCGGGTGGGAACAGAGGACAGAACCACGGGGTGAGAGCTTGGGGAGCTCCTGCCCCGTGCCACAATGTTCACCGTCAACGTCTCCTCCTCCATGTCCTACCGGGGACAGCCGTCCCCTTCCAGGCAGCGGCAGGGCCATGGGAGCAAGTGTGAGCCGAGGTACGGTGTGGGGACAAGGGCAAGGAGCTGAGAGGAGAGCTGGGAGGGTCTGGCAGGTCTGGGTGTCCGTCTGTCTGAATGTCCGTCTTCTGCTTTTCATGTTCCTTATAAGGTGACAGCCTGAGCTGTCCAAGCAACATTCAGTCCATCAGGACACCCAGCCCGGTTCATCCACCCCACACCAACGGTCCCAGTGCCGTGCCGGCTGCCAAAGCAAGGAGCTGCTGTCTGTCGTTCTGATGGCACTGATTTATTTTTTTTTCCTAGCTGAAAATCAACGCCGGATGGCTGCGGGGCCGGGCGGCCTTTCTGCCAGTGCCTGCCTATTGTTTGAGCTGCGCCAGAATTAAGTCACCGCCAAAAAATTCGGGGCTGCTCGTGTGCCATGCAGGGCTGTGCTGTGAACGTCCTGTGTGCAGCGAGGGCTGTGCTCACCCCATGCTGGCATCGTCCCCAATACCCTCACATGCTCTGACACTGCCACGTGCCACGTCCACGGCCCTCTGTCCCCATCTGTGCTCCATCTCGTGTCACCCCAAGCCCTCCTGTATCCCAGCACAAGTGGCTTCACTGTGATGTCCCCGTGTCTGTCCCTGCAGAGAACCCCGGAAAATCATCCTGCACAAAGGCTCCACCGGCCTGGGCTTCAACATCGTCGGGGGAGAGGACGGAGAGGGCATCTTCGTGTCCTTCATCCTAGCCGGAGGCCCCGCCGACCTCAGCGGGGAGCTGCGGAGGGGAGATCGCATCCTGTCGGTGAGCTGCGGGACGGGAGGGGGCGGAGCTGTCCTGGGGACGCCGGTGTGTTGGGTACGGTGGGGCTGGGGAGGGTGCGGGGCTGCGGGCGCTGAGCCCAGGCACGGCGCTGTCCCCGCAGGTGAACGGTGTGAACCTCCGTAACGCCACCCACGAGCAGGCGGCGGCGGCGCTGAAGCGGGCGGGGCAGACGGTGACCATCATCGCGCAGTACCGGCCCGAAGGTACCGGCGGGGCGGAGCCTAGTATGCAAATGAATGACCGTGGGGCGTGGCCTGTGTAAATAAGGGGGTGGTGCGCTGTATGCAAAGAGAGGGGCGGGGCTCTGCGCTTGGACGAAGGGGGCGGGGCGGTGACTGGCGCGCGGAGAGAGCGGGCGAAGGAGGCGGCCTGGCGAGGCGCTGATTGGTGCGGAGAGGGGCCGGGAGGCGGTGCCCGGAGGGAATGCGGGCGGTGATTGGGCAGCGCGGCGGGGGGCGGAGCGACGGCGTCCCGCCGGCTGTGCCTGCGCGGCTTTGTGTGCGGGCCGGGCGGCTCGGGGGCTGCTGCCGGGGGCGCCGCCGCCTCCCACCGCGCCGAGCTGCAGGTGAGCGGGGCTGCGCGTTCCCCGCCCGCCGTCCGGTTCTCGCCTCCCCTCCTCCCGGAACGTGCCGGGGGTCTCTTTGCCGGGAGCGAGGCCGGCGTGGAGGCTGGGCCCCGCCGGGAGGGGGTCGGCTCCGCTGGGGTCGCCGGAGCGGCGTCGGTTGGGACCTCTCCAGCTGTCGGCCCCGGGGCCTGAAAGAGGGAGCGGGGCCGCCTCCTGTGTGCCGCTCCTCCGGTACGTGGTACGGGCCGGGCCTTATGGGGCTCTCGGTGCGGCTGCGAGCATCCCAGGGCCGCGCTCCAAGCAGGGCGCGGGCAGCACCCCGGCATTACCCTAACAACAACGCTTCCTTAGCGCCGGCCTCTAATTCACCCGGCGGAGGCGTCGATGCTGCCGGGAGTCGCCCGAGGGGAAAACCCCCGTGGGGCGCTGAGCCGCTCTGTGCTCGCGGCGGACAAAGAACTGCGCCCGGTTGGTCTCGCACCGCGCCGAGCCCCGCACCGCTCCGGAGCCGCGTGTCGCTGCGCTTTGTGCCCCGTCCCGGCGGAGCGGGGCCCTCCGGAGCCGTTAGTGCCACGCACGGGTGTGCTGTGGGTGTGGTTTTGTTTGTTTTGCTTTCTTTCTTTTCGTGTTGTGTTTTGGTTTTTTTTTTTTTTTTTTTCTTTCTCCTTCTTTCCAGGAAGCGTTTCACGTTCTCGTATTTCTGGCTCTGTTCCCCACTTGAGATTTGGCGTTGACGCGAAGGAGAGCAGTTTCTAAATGTCAGATGGGACGAAATGTTTTGGAAGCCCTCTGGAGTCGGGTTGAGGTGTCGGTGCTTTGGAGCTGCTGCTTTCTGGCCTGTGTTCTGCTATGGCAGTGATGTGCAGCAGTGCCTGGCATTTGGGTGCTGTTGCAGTGATGTGGGGCTGCAGAACCCCACTGTGTGCTGCGTGGTCTGTGCAGGTCACACCTACAACATAGGTGTGCTCCAGCTGTGATCTGGTTTAGTCCCACCTCCGCGCAGCTGTGAGGCTGCTTCCATCAGTTTTGGGTGTGAGGGCCTTCCTGGTGGGGCCCTGTGAGCACAGAGCTGGGGAAGGACGGCACTGGGAGCTGCAGCCTCTGTGCCTGGTGCTGACCCAGAGCTGCAGTGGGATTGTTCCGTTCCATGCTGTTCTGGGCTGTCTGTGAAGTCCCTTCTTGCTGAGTGTGTCTCCCTATGGACTTTGCTATTAGCACTAGTGATGGGTTTGGCAGTTCCACCTCCTTGAAGCCCTGTGGAGTGAAGCTTCGATATCCTTTGCTAAACTTGGCGTGGTCGCGCAGTGTGCTGCTGGAAGGGGCCTGCAGAGACCTCACTGCGACTTTCAGGAGTTGTAACGCTTGCTTTGTCTCCATGCTTTGACACAGCTCAGAGCATGCTCACTCTGTGCTCACAGTGAAAGGCAAGCCATTGAGCTCACCATGGGGTCTGCATGGGCTGCAGCTGGAAGGCCTCTGGGATGCACTCATGGCTGCCCGGCCCATGCAGGTTGTTCCTGCACCTAAAGCAGCACGCGTGCACTAGGCTCTGTGTATGCTTAGGGATTGCTCTCTGCTGCTCTCTAACAGCTCTTTCTCCCCTTGCACTCTTTGCAGAACAGCCACGCAAGGGATCAGGGCCAGAGCCCTGTGTGGGGTGGGGGGCAGCAGCCCCACTGCGCTTCAGCTCCGCTGCTGTACACCGACTCCATTTGCTGGGTTTGTTTGCCATAGAAACAGCAGCTCTGTAGGGAAATGAGCTCGGGGATGGCAGCGAGCATTGGTCTGGGTGGAAGCGAAGCCAGCGCTATTGAAAACAGGATGTGTTTTGCTCTGTGAGGGCAGAGAGGCAGAGAGAGCAGCGGACAATGGCCCTGTGGATGTCTAATCCCAGAGCTTTGCAACCTGGGCAGCCCAAATCCCTTTGGGCTTTCTCGTGGAAGAATGCAGAGGCCAAAGGTTTCTCTGGGGATGAGATGGGGGCTGCTCTGTGCACTGTGGGCTCAGGGCCCTCCCCGGGAGCACCTGCACGGGGCAGCCCTGGAGCAGGGAGGGACGTAAGAGCGCTGTGTCACTTTGTCAGCTTGTAAGGTGATGAGAAGAAAGTGCTGCTCCTGCTGGCGTCAGGTCCTCTTGCAACAAGAGGAGTGAGTTCACCTGTTGCATATTTTCAGTGTTGATAAGGGTGTCCTGAACGCATCCAGTGCTGTGGGAGCGTCAGAGGTGGGGATTAGCAAAGAGCTGCTGATGTTCACCTCCCTGCTGTACAGCGGGCGTGCTTCCCAGGTGAGGCTCTGCCACGCAGCAGCTCTGCTTCCAGGATGCAGAGGCAAAGTGGATAGGAGCCAGTGGGCAGAGATAGAAGCTCTGCTTGCGGGAGGCTATCTGCTGATAATTGTTGGGGAGGCTGATCCTGCATGCTGATAAGGGGTGGCCCATTTGCAGCCAAGTGCTCACTCCCAGGGTAACCTTGCAGGAAGGCTCCAGCTGAGCTTTCAAAGCTCGATGTTGGAGACAGTGCCTGCTGGCACAGGGGGTTCCTGCATCCTGTTAAGCTGCAGTCTGTGCTACTCGGGGTGCTCAGCATTGCAGCTTGCCTTCTTTCTCCTGGGGGGAAGCCTTTGAGCATCACACAGCATGTCAGGGAAGGTGGCAGCCCCATCTGCAGGACACGGCTCAGTTGAGGAGCCCCAGCAGTGAGCTGCACCTTCCCCTGCCTGCACAGGAGCATTCTTCGCAGCAGCTTCCCCATAAGAGCCAGGCAATTGCACCCTGTGTATGAACTTTCACGTCATGGAGCGTTGCCCATGAAATTTTAACGTGCCTCTGAGCATCTGTACAACAGTGCTGACTTACATTAGGCAAATCCATCTGCTTTCTTTCCCTCCCCGTGCCCTGGGCTGCCTGCCTCTTCCAGTGTGAGCGTTAAGGGGAGAAGCAGCAGCAAGGGTGGATGCAGTGCTTCTTATGGGGTGCAGCAAATTCAGCAGATAGATGGGCCAGGAGAGCATGGGTGCCCCTGAGCCACGCAGAGGGGCTGTGAGATTGCAGGGCGAACTGCTGTCTGAGAGCTGCAAAGAGGAGGAAACCTGGCTTGCTTAACCCTTCTGGTTGAACACCCTGCGAGGAGAGCGCAGCAGCAGGCAGCCTGCAGATGGCTCGTCAAGCTGTCCTACACGCAGGTTCACATTGCACCGCATATGCTGGCGTTTGGGGTTTGAAGCAAACCAGCAGAGCAAGCTTCAGAGGCTGGGGCTGCAGCGCAGCTCCTCTGTGTGAGCGTGGAGTTTTTGTGTGCGGTTTGGGGTTTGTGGTACATCTTTTTGTTTTGTTTTTAATTAAAAATGCAGCAGTTCTGTACAGAAGGGAAATCCTTAACTGGCTCTGGCTGCACAGTTTAGGGCTTGATAGCCAAGAAATGCTGACCCATAGTTGCATAACCCCACCGTGTGCCTGCACTGAAGGAGCAGTCTCTGTGCATGGTTAGGGGCTTTCAAACACAGCCTGCTGTGCACCAGGATGTGGGATGTAACTGCAGAGTATGTACAGACAGGGACAGAATTGGTGAGCCCAGGTGCTTGGTGTGACTCGTGGCACTGCTGGCGGCTTTCATAACCAAAAGTTTTCCACGTATCTCCAATCCTGGGAAGTTTTGGCAGCGCCTTTCCTGTCTACCCTGGGTGAGTGGGGCTGCTGCCTCCGCCCTGTGTGCTGGGGCCGACCTTTACACCCAGCTGAAGGTCGCAGCAGCACAGAGGGAGGAGCTGCAGGTGGTGGCAGCTCCCGTCCTGCTGCTGCCGGAGGTGTTGGTGGCTTCTGAGGGGTCTCGTGCTGCTTGGGATGTAGGTGAGGACAGGTGAATTCTTCCTTTCCCTTCCTAAGGCCGCGCTTTGTTCCCCATCCCGAACCACAGGCAGGCTGGGGACTGCCGCCGAGCTGAGGGCCGTGCTGCACGGCCATGCTGTGTTGGCCTGCAGCTGATGGGCCCCTGTGAGGTCTCACTCTTTCTGCATTTTTTTTTAAGTGCTCAACAAGGCGACCTCAGCCCTGGGACAGGAGTGTGCAGGGCAGCTGCCAGCACTCCTTGTTTGTGTATGAGGAAGGATGGGTTGATGGGCAAGATGCCCTGTGGGCACGCTGTGGCTGCCTCTCTTGGTGCTTCCTGGGTTCATCTGGTTGTGGGCTGGTGGCAGAGACCTGGGGGCAACCCCGGCCTGCACTGACCCTCTGTCTCCCCACAGAGTACAGCCGCTTCGAGTCCAAGATCCACGACTTGAGAGAGCAGATGATGAACAGCAGCATGAGCTCTGGCTCTGGCTCACTTCGGACAAGCGAGAAGAGGTCCCTCTATGTCCGGTAAGAGCCATCCTATGTCTCTGTCAGTGCCATCTCCAGATCTGAGGCCACTTGCTGCCTTCACAGATCAAGGAGGAAGAGATCACCCTCCTGAGGGAGGGGTCATTGGGTGCATGTAACCATGTGGGACCCACTCCTGTTTCATCATAGTTCCGGCCAGGAGATCCATTCCTGAGTGCACATGCAAGGGCTGTGCAGTGCCTGGCTGTGGGATGCAGGTGCTCACAGGCTGCACTTTCCAGGAGGTGCCTGTGTTTCCTCTGGGTGTGCCCAGCACTTGGGAACGAGGAAGGAGAATGTGTCACCTTGCAGACGAGCAACTCATCCATGGGCCGGGGCACCCACAGCAGCCAGGATTGCATCCTTGCACCTGGTGGGCATTGCACCTTTCAGAGGACGTGTTGCCCTGCTGCTACGAGGCGAGGGAAGCAAGCTTTATAAATAAAGCATGGAGTTCAGAGAGTTACAGCAGTGGGTTTGGCACTCTTTCGTCAGGGCTGAGTGCTCTGCACTTAAATACCTTTTAAACAGGCAGCTGTGCAGAGAGCTGGGCTGTGCTGCAGCCAGGCAGCTGCGTCCCAGGGTGAGCTGTTAGGGATGGGGAGGTCCAAGGGAGGATGCAGGCAGCGCTCTCCTCTACCTGCTCTGTGCTAACTGGCTTCTCTGTTGCTGCTCATGCAGCGGGATCTGGCTGGAGGGGAGATGAGCTCTTAGGAGGATTATGGCTTTGATTCCAAGTTGTGCTTTTGGTTCAGAGCCAGGCACAGAGCAGGCAGGGGTTAAGCAGCCGCATGGCGCTGGCTCCGTGACTGCTGCATGCCCCACGCCCTGCTGGCTCTTGCCCCTGCCATCTCCCTGCCGGCTGCAGTGAGAAGCAGTGTGGTGGCAGCTAATGAGCAATTGTAATTTGCTTATTAAAATAATCCTGCAACTCCTCACCTTGGGTTGCGGGTGAGGGTTGGCAAAGCAAGGGATGCTTCTCTTTCCCTGCAGGGAGGATGATGAGAGCTGAGGCTGCGTGTCCTGCAGCAGGGCTGTGCTTTGCAGGAGGGTTTGGGGGTGCGGGGACCTCGCGTCCAGATCGACGTGGGGCAGAGCTGCGTTCTGTTCCTGCAGTTCATGGTTTCACAAGGCACTGTTGGATTTGTGATCTGCTGCCCTGCTGACACCCTCAGCCGTGAGCGTGTGAGAGCTGCCCCAGCCCTTCTGGGTGGGGTGGTTTCGAGCACGGGTTGCCTGAAACCAGCCGAGCCGCTGCCTTGTGGACAGGACCTCAATTATGGGACGTGCTACCAAACTGCTCGAGTCAGCACCGCCCGGTCGTAGGGTGCATGGGGCAGCGTGGGGTCTGCTGCTCACAGCCCACCTGGGCAGGGCACGCTCCTGGCGCTGCTGCAGGGCAAAGTCCACCAGCAGCTGGGCCAGGAAGGGGCTGGGACGGCTTAGTGCTGGCTCTGCAAGCAGGCCTGGTGCTGCTCCATTGCCCTGCGGCCAGGCTGCTGCTCCTGCAGGGGATGATGGGGCTGTGTGGAGGAGGGCTGGGTCTCGCAGGGCTGCTGTTTGGCTCCGGCAGGCCAGCTTCTCATCTACCAGCACTGAGTTCCCCATGCAGGCACTGAGGGGAGCAGGGTCAGGCCTGGGCAGCGGGCATCTTGTAGCTGGGAGCTGACAGGCGGGCAGTGGGGCTGAGGGTGCTGCTGGCTCCGGAACCTGCCCGGCCGGTTCTCTGCTCCTTCCTTCCTCCTAATTGCATTCTCCTCACTCTTAATGGCGCTGGTCTGGCTGGGGCGTGCCAGCCACGCACGCAGCCTTATCTTTTGGCAGGGAGCAGTGCCTGGCAGGGCTGCTTGCCTCCAGCTGAAGGGCCCCGCGGTGCTGCACTGCCGGCTGCCACGTGCTGTGCTCGGGGCCATGCGTGTTTCTGTGCTCCTGTGGGGCCAAGCACAGGAGCCTCTCAGCAACGGCCTGAGTAAGCTGGAGAAAGCAGAGCAAGCTGGTGGCTGCATCAGCAACCTCAGGGCTGCATCAACCCGTCAGGCCTTGGCACAGAAGGTTCCTGTTCTCTTGGTCCTGGGTCACCGTGCTCGAAGAAGGATGTGACCCAAGAAGAGCACATCCAGCTCACTGCTTAGTGCTCCACTGCTCATCTGCGTCCCGGTTGAAACCAGCACAAGGCTACTGCAGGAGCTGGCTCTGTGCCTGAGCCTTCATTTCAGTCCTGTGGATGAGATCTGGCACCTGAGCTCACCATCCTGATGCAGGCAGGTGCTGGTGCCTGGGAGGCAGAAGACGTGTGGTGATGCTGAGTCCCGGGATGCTCACAGGGGGCAGTTCCTGTGATAAGGTTCTCTCTGATCTGGAAGATGAGCTGGTGCTTTGCAGTTGCACGCTGACGCTGCTGCCAGAAATAAGGACCTGCAGGTAGATCTGCTTAGTCAAAGGTGGATCGCTCCATAGCTGCTCCTGCAGTAGCTCTGCATGGGGTTATAATATAGCCAGTCAGGATGAGTAGGAAAAACTGGGAACAGTGGCAGCTTTCACAGCAGTGCGAGAATTGGTGCTGCTCTTCTGTTTCCCAGGAGAGTGGAGCCCCAGCTCACCTGGAGCCACTGTAGGGAGGGAGATCTATGCTGACCCTCCTCTGCCATGCTGGCTAGGAAGAGAGTTCTTATTGAATGTGGTAGAGAAGCAATTTTTGAGAGAGCCAGCTAGGCAGCTCGCCCTGCAGGAGGCTGGTGCACAGCGCCTGTTGCTTTTACTATTTATGGAGCCACAGTTAAAAGGATTCAGCTCGACAATCAGTGTGACTTGTGCTGTGTTGCTTCAGACCCCCTCGGGGTTCCTCGTAGTGGAAGGAGGTGATGAGCAGGGCAGAGGGTGGTGTTACTATGGCTTTCCCCCTTTTCCACCTGGATGAGGCTGGCAGCTGGCTGAGAAGCACTCAAAGTGCCCCACACTGCCTGGGGGAGCAGTGGGGCTGACCTCATGGGGATGAAAATGGGGCTCCCAGTTGTGCCACCAGCAACAGTGCTCCGAATGGCTGCTCAGCTGTTTCCATTTGTTGCCGAATGGACGTGTCTGGAAAAATAGGTCTGCTTTGTGATCAGACATTGGGAGAATGAGGCCCCTGAAAGCAGCTTGAGGCAAAGGGCTGCAGTGCAGGCAGGCGATAAGGCTCCAGTCACTTGCACAGGAAGAGCATTAGTGCTCCTCTTCCTTAGTTTAAAAAACAATTATCTTTTCTGCAGCTGGGTAATTTAATATTGGAGATGAAGCTCTTTTACTGTAAGTAAGTAAGCTGTTCTTAGGGGAAGCATTTAAAAATCTGAAATAGCTGTAGAATCAGGTAAACATCGAGTTGCGTTCGTAATTCACAGACCTCTGGAATGAAATACCTCTACACATAAATGAAAGCGAAGGCTGTGTGTGCCCTGCAGCCCGTTGGTGTGACTTCTTCCAGCAGCAGGGCACGATCACCTCCTGGCCATCTCACAGCCTTGTTGTCATGGCACAGGGCAGGCTCTCCATTCCCTTCTGCTGGCCCACAGCTTTGCTACTGATGAAGGGTGCTGGGTCTCGCCCCCTGAACAGAGCAGCTGGGTTTTCCCTCATGTGCTGCTTTCCTGATGGCCAGCAGGGAAGGAAACCTTGGGGTACCATTTATGACCTGTTATATTTTCGAAGCCGCTGAACTTTGAATGTTTGACTGCTTTCTGACCACAGCCTTCTTCAGCATCTGTGTTGTTTGTGTGCTGCTTGCAGCTCATGTCAAGAGCTGGTTTATTGGTCCAGTGCTGTCATTTCTGTGGGGCGTTCATGGTGAGCACTTCATTCTGGGCCTTATGAGGTCTGCAGTGCTGTTGCTTGCTTGGTAGGGGAGGGCTTCACTCCTCTTTGTGCTCCTTTGCAGAGCTCTGTTTGACTATGACCGGACCCGGGACAGCTGCTTACCCAGCCAGGGGCTCAGCTTCTCCTATGGGGACATCCTGCACGTCATCAATGCCTCTGATGATGAGTGGTGGCAAGCCAGGCTTGTGACACCTCATGGTGAGAGCGAGCAGATAGGAGTCATCCCCAGCAAGAAGAGGTAAGTGCCCGTCAGCAGGAGCTGGCTCACGTGGTGCTTTGGTCCTGTGAGCCTCAGGACCCAGCTTCTGGGTCTGTGCTGTGTGGCAGATCTGGTGGTATCAGCATGAGGAATATGTGCAGCATTATGGGCATCCCAGGGGCTAGCAGCATCTCTCTCCCTTTTAACTTCCAATCAGGGTGGAGAAGAAGGAGAGAGCGCGGTTGAAAACGGTGAAATTCCACGCCAGGACCGGCATGATAGAGTCCAACCGGGTGAGTGCTGAGCAGGCTCAACGAGACGGTGTGCTGTAGTGGGGCAGGGTGAGTCCGAGCAGCTCTGTGCTCCCATAGAGGGCAGCCAGAGCTGTCCCAGAGCAAGGAGCAGTGCAGTGGACTTTCTCAGGCACGGCTCCCCTCGGCAGCGTGCGGGGTGGGAGCAGAGCAGCTGGGGCAGCTGTGAAGGTGCTGATGAAAGACTGTGGTTTGGTAGCGGGGCGTCCTTACAGTGGCAAGGGAGCAGAGCACGTCCCAGCACAGCCCCAGGCAGAGCACTGATGGCTGGGAGCTGACTGAAGGTGCCTGGTGCTGGCAGAGCTTCCCTTGCATGGAGTGAACGGATGAGGCAGGGAGAACAGCCGTGCTCCTCCTGCAGAGGCTCACCAGCTTCCCAACATCCCTAAAACACATTTTTTTTCTCCGCACTTAATTTTTTTTCCCCTGCATTACAGTTCTCATGTAATCTCCATGATTTCATTTCAGGGTAACCGCCCTGACACGGCTCCTCATTGTCTCTTCCTTTTAATTTTCCTCGCATGCGTTAAACGCCATTGTTTTTTCTGTCCTCCCTTCCATCTCCATCTTCTTCACAGTCGATCAAAACGAAACGTAAAAAGAGTTTCCGCCTCTCTCGAAAGTTTCCATTTTACAAGAGCAAAGAGAACCTGGCCCAGGAGAGCAGCGGACAGGAACGTAAGTAGCAGCTGGCCAGAGAGGGCAACGTGCAACCCCCCGAGCCCCACCTCCTGCCTCGGGGAGGGGAGATTTGCCACGTTCCCATAGCCAGCGAGCCCAGTACCTTCCTGCATTGGCCAAACTGTGCTGCTCCTGCCAGGCAGGCTGAGGCCATGCACGTGCCCTGCTGTACCACCAGGCTGCCCTCCCAGCCACCGTCAGGCCCAGGGCTTGGTCAGGTTCTGTGCCCATCAACCCTGCTGGCAGCTAAGGAGCAGCCTGAGCCTGAAATCAAAGCAGCAGCTCCCACACCACTTGGGGTGGATGCCAACCGAGTGAGGGACCTCCTGCTGCATTTCATGTCCCTGTGCACCCGCTGAAGTACCAGGCATGAGTGCCCTGTGCAGGCAGGCTCACCCAGCTGCTGCAAGCCCAACTGCCTCTGGCCGTGTCTCTGCACAGGCTGGCTCTCTCTTTCTCTCTCTCATGTTTGATGTCTTCATCCTTTCATAACTTTACACTTGCCTAAACTTCTGCTCTGCCTCCTCCTGCTCTCTCCCATATGCTGTGGGCTCTGCTCTCTCCCTGTGCCTGCCAAGGGCTGCTTCCCTTCCAGAGCAAGGGGTGGCTGAGCAGTGCAGGAGCTTGTCCCTTGTCCTGGGCTGAGGGGGAACATCCTGGCTGTGCTCTCTGACTCAGAGTGACTCTCTGCTACCTATTCCTGACAGTCTCCAAGCCCTTCCTGTAAGTGAAACCCCATGGCCATGAGGGATGTGTGCGCTTGCTGGCAGAAGCACTGCCCACACTCAGCAGCTGAGGCACGTCTTGGCTGCAGATTTTGGGGAATACCCAGCTCTCACCCAGGGCTCCCAGTGAGGGCAGGCTGTGCCGCAGCTCCCCTCTCCCTGGCAGGCAGGGCTGTGCACAGACACATCTCGTGTGTAGATGAGGATGGGAGAAGGGGGTGGGGGTGTAACCTCGAGGCACCTCCAGGCTTGAGAGCTATGCTAAGTGTTCAGCTCGTTCCTCCAAGTCCAGACATCAGGAATGCTGGAGCCTGCAGTAGGCACCCAGGGAAAACTGAGAGGCAGCTGCACAGCTCCTCTGGAACAAACTCCATTGCAAGGATGAAACAGCCTGCCCTTGCTGGGTTAGGTGAGCAGCTGTGCCCAGCCTTTCCTGTTTCCAGGTGCTAAATTGCATCCGCTCCTTCAGTGAGTGTTCACAGAGAGTGCTGCAGGCCTTGTGTTTTTGGGAAGAGGAGAGTAAGTGGGCAAGGCAGAGCAGTGTCCGTGCCCAGGTGCCAGCACATTGTGTGCTCCCTTCCAGTGCCTTCCTGGGCTTGGCAGAGAGCAGCTGGAACCAGGTGCTGTGGGGCAGTGCCCACTTCCTTCAGCCAGGCTGCATGAAGGTCTCAGTGACAGCAGCCAGCATGATGGCTGTGATGATGTGTGAAGTCTGTGTGCTCAGATTCCTGCAGGGCATGTGGCTGAGCTCACAGCATTCGCTGCCTTTGGCATGCTGGAGAGACACTGATGGAACAGACTTCAGCCATAGGAAGCTTTTCCTGTCCTGGTTCCCCTTGTTTTGTTGTGGAGCGTGGGCACCTTGCTCTGCATGCAGGATGTGGCCATGGCTGGTGCCTGTGGGAAGCAGTGAGGATGTGACCTGTGCTGGAGGTGCTGTAGCAGCAGAGAACAGGAGGGCATAGGGGTGCTGATGGAGCACAGCTCGGTGCCTGCAGCTGAAGGTCACCGAGGCACTGTTCTTGGCCAGCCCTGCAGTGCAGGACATATGGCATGGGCACGGGGCAGGCTGTATTCTTTGCCAGCAGCATCAGAGCAGCCCGCAGGCAGCTCCCTTGCCAGGCTCTGTTGTGCTGCCCATCCTGTTGCACTGCTTGCAGCAGGGGGAACCTTTCTCTGTCTTTGCAGACTGTGCAAGTGTTGGGGTGTGGGCAGCTCATGCACACTGGTGGGGAGAAGCATCCCCTGGCCATGCTGGTAGAGGTGTGGCAGTGCTCTTTTCCCCTCCAGAGGGGCCTAGAGGGGAGAGCAGAGCTTCATGCTGCAAAAGACCAAGTGAGGCTGTATGGAGAAATGCCTTGGGGCTGTGGTGAAGCTTCAGGGGACCCGCGATGGCCTCAAGGTGCAGCCAGAGGGGTGTGAGGGTCTGCTGGGGGGGTCAGCAGCGCGTGGTGAGATGTTGGTGCTCCACTGCCAGTGTCACCACAGAGAAATGTTTCTTAACATCACTTGCAGTTACAGCTCTGGGCCGTTCTGCACTCCTGTCACTAATGCTCATCTGGCTCTGTCTTCTTCTCCCCCTCCTCTCTGACCGCCCCTCTCCTGCGCTCTTTTCTCTCCCCCTCTCCCCCTTCTCGCTGTCTGTGAAATCAGGACTTCCCTGGGTTAAGTGACGATTATTATGGAGCAAAGAACCTGAGTAAGTGGAATTGCAACACGCATCGTTCGCTTTCCATTGCCAGCACACGCGGGGGTGCCTGATGGCTGTGCTTCTCTGGGTGCAGGGCACGAGGAACCCTGTGGGTTTGGTTCCCTCTCCCAGCAGAGGGCTCTGGAGGTGCTGCACTGGGGAGGGGATTGCTTGGGGGATTTGGCTGTGCCCTAAGCACACGCAGGGGCCTGCCCAAGGCACCCTCGGGAGCAGGTGGAGGCATCGTGCCATCTTCCTTTGATGGTACATGATTGCCCACGTGCCCAGAGCTGCTTGGCTGCTCTCCCCAAACCCTGCGGAGCTGCGCCGAGTGGGGCGGGCAGCAGGGCAGCAGCCAGCCTCTGTGGGGAGGTCACAGCACTGGGATCAGCCGAAGCAAAGCGAAGCCCCGAACTCTGTCCCATCCTGTCACTGTCTCGTCTCTGTGAGTCCCGGCCCCTCTCTGCAGGTAGCTCCCCACCCCTGCCCTCCGTGTGCATGCTGCACCCTGCCAGCCCTGCCTGCAGCCCCGCTCCCAGCACCTCCCCCATCTCTCAGCATAGCCGAGCAGAAGAGGTTCCCCCGCACATCCCCTATTTCCCCTGAGAGGGACAAAGGGCGAGAGCTGCTTGTCCTGCCCCAGCACCCCGCTCCCAGCCCTCCCCATGGGTGCCAGGGTGCATTTCTGGTGGTGTGCCCTGCTCTCAGCCACCAGCACTGGGTGCCAGCTCGTGTGCCCTTGGTGAGCGCTGGCTCTGAAGATGGTCTCTCTGGTTGCTTTGCAGAGGGCGTGACATCAAACACCAGTGACAGCGAGAGCAGTTCCAGTAAGTGTGCGTCTCTCCTGCTGTCTCACCTCTGTGTGTGTGTGTGTGTTTGCACTCCCATCTCGTTCTGTCCCCGTGGTTTCTGTTCGGAGGCTGTTCCTTCCTGCTGGTGGCACCGAGATGCTGGGCCAGCTGCCATCTCGGGTTATGGGGTGCAAGATAACTCGGGTCTGGCTGCAGCCAGTGCTCCCATTACATCCCCAGTGCTCCTCTAAGTGCCTGCAGTGTGCCCACAGCTGTGCCCACTCACATCCAAGCGTGCAGTGGAGGAGGAGAGGCTGATATTGGATGGGTGTGAGAGCCTGCCCTCAGTGCAAGGGGTGGCTGGGGCTGGGAGGCTGCTGCCAACATTCACCTGCCTCTCCTTGGCTCTGTTTCAGAAGGACAAGAGGACACTATCCTGTCATACGAGCCGGTGACACGGCAAGAAAGTAAGTCCTTCTGCTGGGTTGTGGGCATCAAACCCCTTCCCCTGTTTACAGCTGTGCTGTGCATGGCTGGCTGGGGTGATCTCCAACTCAGCAGAGCTGGGTTTGACCCCTGCTGAGGATGGGGTCAGGTGGGGGTTTGGAAAAGGTTCTGCACCACAGGGCAGTGGGACTGGACCAGGCTGCCCAGGGCAGTGTCATAACCCTGAGAGCTGGAGTTCAGGGGGTGTCAGATAACGCTTTCAGACACAGGGTTTGGGTTTGAGATGTTGAAGCAGGAGCTGAACTGGTGAGCTCTGTGGATCCCTCCCAACATGGGATATCCAAGGATTCTGTTCTGAGCAGTACCCCCTCAGCAGTCTGTCCTTGCTAGCGTCTGTATCAGTCTCATAGGGCCCACAACCTTGCATGTCTACATATCCTGGTTGTCAGCTCTGTGCCTCGAGCAGCAGAGCAGCTTTGCTCATCTTTGACTTGTGAGATTGTGGCACCTTCCCTGGAGCAGCTCCTGCACCTGGGCCAGCTGCATGCTGCCAGAGGGGATGGAGATGCTGTGATCCACCTGCCTGTGCGCATCGCCTGGGTTGGATGTGGATGATGTTGAACACAGCCAGGAGATGAACTTCCATGGAGCTTCCCGGAGCGTGGGCTGTTCTGAGCTGTGGCTTTTGTTTGCAGTTCACTACGCCAGGCCAGTAATCATCCTGGGGCCCACAAAGGACCGAATTAACGACGACCTCATCTCTGAATTTCCACACAAGTTTGGTTCCTGCGTGCCACGTGAGTCCCTGCAGAGGGCAGAGCCCTGTGGGTTCGGGTGGGTCGCACCAGGTCCACTCCTGACGCCTTCTCTCCTCCAGACACCACCAGGCCTCGGCGTGACAATGAGGTGGATGGACAGGATTACCACTTCGTCGTCTCCCGAGAACAGATGGAGAAGGATATTCAGGACAACAAGTTCATAGAGGCCGGGCAGTTCAACGACAATCTCTATGGGACCAGCATTCAGTCGGTGCGGGCGGTCGCAGAGAGGGTGAGTGTCGTTGGCCTTCCCAGGGATGCATTTGCAGTGTCCTTCCTCTCCCCATGCTCCTAATGAAGGGCAGCGACCGCATCCCTATGCAGCCCACGTGGCTGCTTTGCTCCACCTCAGTGCTTTGTCTCCTTCAGCCCAACTCCACCCAAACACCAGCACTGGGGCACCAGCTCTGTGTTCAGGAGTTCATGGGGCAAAGGACGCCAGCTGCTCTTGGTGGACCAGTAGTGTTTCCTGCATAAGGGTGCACTGATGGCTTGGGAATAGCTTTGTAAGTGTCCAGGGAAAAATTGAGTCCCCTCACCTTGCTGTGGTCCTGCCATAAGCAGACAGGAATGTAAGGGCTGTGGGAGTTGCCCCGTGTTTCAGGAGCAGAGTTTCACCTCAGTGGCTCCTCTCTTTTGTAAGCATGTCCCTGTGAGCAAGCTGTTCTCTGCCCAGAGCAGACTGTGTGGGTAGGTCTGATCCCAATCATCTCCTTTCCAGGGAAAACACTGCATCCTGGATGTATCTGGCAATGCTATCAAGAGGTTGCAACAAGCACAACTTTACCCCATTGCCATTTTCATCAAACCCAAATCCATCGAAGCGCTCATGTAAGTGCAGCAACGCGTTTTGGGGTGGGTGGTGCTGGAAAGTTGGGCCTTTGTACTTCTGCTGCCTCTGTGCTTCAGAAAGCAGCACATGTTGCTGGTGATGCTGAACGTTCCCTGTACACCAAAGCTGGGCCCATTCCTGTGTCTCTGGTCTCACAGTTGGACTAATGCTGTGGGTACATCGCATCTCCGTGGATTGTTCTGATTTAAAAACCCTTTTTATTTGCACCAAAGAGGATTTTCTGTGGCAGCAGAGTAATGCTCCCAAACGTGTCTGATGGACCCTGCTCTGCTGGCCCCAAGGCAGCCAGGAGAGCTGCTGAGAGCCCGCAGTGCTGGAATGGCTGGAGATGTTTCCTGCAGCCCAACCCGCTGCTCATTGCCCTGGGGAGAACCTGAGTGTGCACATCTTCCAAGCATCAACAGTATTATCTGTGGGGAAGTTCTGTACTTAGAGCTGGACTTTAAGGTCAGAAGGGACACTGCTGGCACCAAGGGGACTGGAAAAACCCTTTTTCAGGCCAGCAGCCTTAGAACTGCTCATTTTGACGTTGTATGAAAATGAAGGAGCCCAGGCAAGGAGAGTGGTGACAGGATGTGGAAAGGCAGGGGATTTCCCCAGTGGTCCTGCAAACTCAGAGGGCTGCATGGACTTTTCCATGTTCTGGCAACAGAGGGATGGTGGCATGGACTGTTTTTGGCTTTTGTTCATTGCTGAATTTCTATTTCTTGTGCATTGCAGGGAGATGAACCGGAGGCAGACATACGAACAGGCCAACAAGGTCTTTGACAAAGCCATGAAACTCGAGCAAGAATTCGGAGAGTATTTTACAGGTGAGCGTCCCGAGTGCATTTGTGTGTGATGGATTGCCTTTTTCCAGTTGGCAGCTGTGAGCTCCACCAGCACTGCAGGGTCATGAGAAAATGTCCAGCTCCATCAAAATGAAGCGGCGCTCTGCCAGCATGGCTGCACAAAGGGCCCGTTCAGAGATCACTGGATAAGAGTAAGCCAGGTCTAGAGGAGGGCAGAAGTTGTCAGGCAGGATTTTCCAAGGTTGTGAAAGCCCAACGCTGGCTTCAGTAATAGTAATAAAAATGAAAAACACAAGAGGTAGGGGAAGGGCAACGTAGATCAGTGGATAACTGAGAATGAGAGGAGGGTCGTGTTTAAAGAGGAAAGGTAAGAACGAGGGACCCAAATGATGGAGGCTGCCCCGAGTTATTATGAAACATCTTCCATAAAGGACTGGAAGTTTGGCTGGCTTCCTGAATCTGTGTTGAAGAGCAGTCGAGGGATGGACTCATGACAGAGGCATCCTTGTGCGTTAAGGAACTAACGTTTGCAGTGTGATTAATGCTGGAAAATCATGGGCAGGCAAAGAGGCAGAGCAACTCATCTCCCATCTTTGCCCCCTTTGTGGTAACTGCGTCCTCCAAAGCCGAGGAATGGTAATCCTGCTAAATGCTGCATTACTCACCTAACAGCTACTGTAAAAAATCCCAGGCAGAACATTTTCCAAATACAGATCGCAGCTGAGAAAATGCAGCAGTACAAACAGTGTGAGAGCCTTCCTCAGAACTCTGCCTTGGGCAGCGCTTCCAGAGCTGCAGGCTGCTCCTCCAGGAAGAGCAAACACAAAGGAAATGTGCACTGCAGTCCTGCCAAACCCTCAGCACGCCATCGTCAGCCTCACGTGGCCACTGAGGCTTGAGGCTGACCTGGGGAAGGAATGCTCTTGGCTGAAACCCAGCCCGGTTGAAAGGAGTCTGTAATGGGCAGTGAGGTGAATGCTGTAGGAAATGCTGTGCCAGGACCTTACAGTGAGGCACTGGAGCATGGTGCTGGCTTGGCTACAGGCTGAGGGACCAGAGAGCTGTGGTCCATTTCTTGATGTAGGAGACACGCAGAAGCCTTTTGTGTCGCGTCCACGCTCAGCAGCAAGGTGCTGGGAAAGCACTGCTGCAGGAGCAGCAGCCAGGAGTTGGCTTTTTCCAGCATGGCAGCGCTGTCATGAAGCACAGAAGTAACAATCAGGAGCTCAGCAGGGGAACAGATCTGGGTGGGCGAATCCAGCACGCGAGGGTACAGCGCTTGGCTCCAAGTGGTGGGGAGGGGGGAGGCAGTGACCACGGAGCAGAGCTGGAAGTTCACACCCTGCCCTGGGCCCACTGCCCGGAGCTCAGCAGCGCTGGGACAAGGCTCACAAAGCTGATTAGCAGCGTTGTGCAGAGCCTGGCTGGCACTTCACACGTGCCAGCAGCTCCGCTAATCCCCTCGGCCGCCCTGCATTAACCCTCTGTGTCACTGCGTGCCCGTTCAGCTCCTCCAACGCAGGCTCTGCATTCACTGTTGGCTGTGTGTTATCGGCCCCTTTGCTGCAGCGAAGGTCTTTCCATTGTGGGTGGCTTTGCTCAAGGTGGTTTTTTTTCCTCTCCTCTTTCAGCCATCGTACAAGGAGACTCTCTGGAAGAGATTTACAGCAAAATCAAACAGATCATCGAGGACCAATCCGGGCACTACATCTGGGTCCCGTCCCCAGAGAAGCTCTGAAGCTGTCCCCTACCTGCTGGGACCATCTCTGACGTCCCACCCCACCTGTGCCCTCTGCCCTAAGGGGGGGGGGGATGTGCAAATGATTCCTGCCCCCTTTTTTTAGATCGTCGCAAAATTGAGTTTTCTAGTCCTGTTTCTTTTGTTGGGATGAACTGATCTCATTCATCACGTGACTGTTCCCACCATCCCTGCATGGACCTTCCCACTGCTCCATTAGAGACAGATGAGAACCCATTCAAGAGTCGTTTTTTATTATTATTATTATTATTATTATTATTATTATTAACTAAACCAAGAATCCAGAAGGGAGGAGGCGGCTGAGGACTGACATAAGAAACAAGTGGAACAATGGACTCTGAGAACACAGCAGTGTCAGAGCTCCAGGGCATTTCTTCCAGGTGTGACTGCCTAGCAGCTCTGAGCAGTGCGACAGAACGGCAGCAAGAAGGCATTTTATTTATCTGTATATGTAATTTATATATAATATAGAGAAAGATATTATATATATATTATATATATATATCCGTGTGGACTAGGAAACCTGAGGGACCTCTTCAAAGGTACTGTGTGAGTGCAAGGATCTTTCAGTTTCTTTGTCCCACCCACTGAGCAGAAACGATCCTGGCGGCACCACGAGCATCTCCTGCTGCCCTGCCAGCAGCCCCAGGTTGGGGAGCAGCACAGAGCCCCCCAGAAGGGCCCGGAGCTCTGGGCTGACCCAGGAGCCACAGACTGAACAGGAGGCTGCGGAGGGAGAGAATGGATGATGCTACATATTAAATTGCACATTGTTTTACACGCCACCGTATGTGTTTGCATGAAAGGTTTCCTTTTAGTTCTATTTTTTTAAGCTGATGTTAAACCAAAACCATATTGTGTTGCTGTGTTGGCTTTTTGGTTTTTTTTTTTTTTTCATTATTCCATTTATTTTTTTTTTTTCTCTTGTTAATAATGAACTGAACGGGTATAAAATCCAGTTTTTTAACTTATTTTTTAAGCTGGCTTGTACTGTAAATAGAATCCAGATCCGAGGTGTTTAGTTAGGAAATACTCTACCAGCCTCATGAAACGATGTATTCGCTGTCCTGTGTTGCTATGGAAAACCTGGGATGGCAGGCTGGCCCTGGACCTGTGCTGAAAGGTGAATGATTCCTTCTGCTGTTGGCTGCTGCCACGAAGAACCCCAGCTGTGCTCCGGGTGGTTGCTCCCAGGCTTTCAGATTAGCAGGAATGGGGCAGCAGCTGAAAGCCTTCCTCTTTCCTCCTTCCTTCCCTGGTGTCACACGTGCTGCTCCGCTCCCTGCGTGCGTGGTGGTGGCCTTGGGTGGGAGCTCCATCCTCCAACACTGGGAGCAGTGGGGAAGTGAGCGCTCACCTCCTGGTTCTGGCCGCTCTCTGATGTTGGGCTCTGTGCCATCTCTCAGATTTACCTTTGGGAACTGCTTCGGGTGCCTCCTGCTTGTGGTTTTGGGGGGATGGAGTCGTTCACTGCAGCATCCTGTGGTTTCCCAATTGAGGCAGCTGTTAGTGCTGGGAGCTGGCCCTGTGCAGAGGAACGTCCCTTCTGGAGGAAGCTTTGGCACCGGAGCGGGGCTCCATTATGGGAACGGGGCTGCGTGAAGCTGTGGGGCAGCTCAGACTTCGGGCTGCATTTTCAGGTGCTGACAGCCAAGGTGGGAAAGCCTCCTCCTTACAGACTGCAAACAAACAGTGCTCTCAGACAGGCAGGCAGCAGCAGGTAAGTCTGGGCCATCTTCCCTCCCCTTTCTGTGTGGGGCTAAGAGTGCAGCAGTGCCAGTGCCCTTCCCTGGAGGTCATGGCTGTGGGTGCACAGCATGCTGCTGCACAGGTGCTCTGCTGAGACACAGCACTCATCCTGCACCATGCAGAGCCTGCAGGGACCGAGCAGCCTGCTGGGCCAGAAAGCAGTGCTGCAAGCAGACACTGCTGTGAATGCAGCGGAGGGGAGGAAGGATTCTGCAGCCACCAGGGCCTGCTCTAAAAGAGTGAACTGCTGTGGGTCCCTGAAGCAGCACAGGGAGTGACACACAGGTCCTTGCAATGCTCAGCACACAGTTCTTGTCTCAGCTGTTTTTCTAATAGCCTGTCCTCAAGCCCCATGGAGAAAAAGCTGATGTACTCCATGGCACAGCTGACAGAAACAAATCGATCACGCCGCTCGTTGGTTACTGGTGTTTCTTCCAAGGAGACGTATATTTTTAATAAACAGAGAGTTGCACAGAGCTCTGCCTTTGAGCCCTTCTTGGGGAGTCCTTCCTTGTGTGCCAGTTCTGCTGTCTGTGCTCATCTGAACAATCAGTGACAGCAAGCAGAAGTGCTGAAATGCGGTCACTGAGAGCAGCCTGGAAGAGAAAAGAAGAAAGGAAGCAGCCTTGCTCAGGTGCAGCCCTGATGAGATCACAGGAAAGCTCTGCTGTTGCTGCTTGATGTGGGTTGGATGACACCACCAGTGGCTTCAGGGCCACAGGTTGAGTTGTATGGGGCTGGTTCTACAAATAGGGTTTATGTGCTGCTGTGTAATGGCTTCTGTGGTGGATGTGAAGGCAGCAGTGTGCTATATATACACATAGTGTCTGTGTGTGTATATATACACACAGTCCCACTAACACCGAGCATCCTTTTTCAGCCTAACGTGTTATTTATACAGCAGATGACAAAAAGTTGTGAAGACGACCAGTTTCTGCTGCTGGTATTTTTAAATACGGGGAGCAGGAGTGGTTGCTGGCAGACAAGTGTGATTAATGGGTGTGCTGTTAGCATTCCTGGCTGAATCTGCTGTGTCACCGAGCTCAGCTGGCTCAAAGGTGAGAGGGCTTTTGTTTTCCAGAATCTTGAAGGCTCTTGTTTCTGCTCTATCTCTGCAGCTGTGGTTCATTAACCCTGCGCTCCTCCCTAAGCACAGGACTGCATAAGCGCGATGCGATGGGAGATAATTTAATAATAGCTTTCTCCAAAGGGTTTTTTTTCCTTCCCCATTGATGCCTGATGTGCAGGCAGCTGAATGGCTGCATGCCTTACAGCCACGTCTTCACCTCCCAGTGCTTGGCAGCATCAAGGATTGCTCCTCTCTGCCTTCCCAGCAGCACTGGGGCACCTGCTGCAAAGGAGGTGAAGTTGTCACGTTGCAGCAGTCTCACTGCATGAAGCACCCTGAGGTACTCCTGTTGTATCCCCTCCCTCCCACATGAAGGCACGGTGTTTGTCTTGGATTGTTTAACACTCATTAGAACGGTGGAGCTGTTTGGGTCGCTCAGTGCAGCAGCTGCTAATGGTGGAGGCATGCAGGGGGTGATGATGATGGAGTGAGTCGCAGCATGGGGTTGGGACCACACTGGGCTGACCGTGGTATTTCCTCCCTATTCTTAGTTCCAGGGCTACTACTCGACAAAAGCTTCTGCCCAATCCTCTAATGAGCTTCAGTCCTCTTCCAATTAACTTGATTTCTGTTTACTGTAATCACTTCAACTCTCCTGGGCTTGACCTGAGCACTGGTGGCCAACCCAGCCTCTCTGCCTCTCCAGAACACTGCAGCCTTTGCACTGACAAACACTCAGCCCTGATGGTGGGAGGAATCCCAGCACAGCCCCTGTGGGACATTTCAAGACTGCACTTCCCATGCTAGTCCAGGCTGCTGCTGCTCCCCAAACAGTTAAGATGTAAGAAAAAAAAGGGCATAAGTACTGGCTTGAGGCAGAGGGATTTGTGAAGTGCTGCCCTGGAGGATGCATCTGTGTGTTCTCAGAGGCTGCACTTACACAGCACACCCTGTAGGTTCCTACAGTGACGTGCAAAGCAGAAGCCACCGCTGCAATGCCACCTTCTGGAGCCATCTGCTCACACCTCAGGACAAGCACCAGGATCCTCCAAGCAGAAACCAAGCTGCAGCACAAAGCTGATCAATAAAAAAAGACGTGAGGAGCAAACAGCACTGAGTTTATTTTTCCCTCTATCCCTAATGGGACTACAATGCAACACTCAGCCTAGTAAGACACCCACTGCACAGACCAGCCTGCATCTACACCAGCAAACAGCCTGCAAAGAAGGGTGTTTGCACACAAACTACCTGTTGGGAATAGGTAAAATAAACTGGGAATCCAGCTCATTAAGGTCTGATTCAACCTGGAGAGGAACTCTTGCTCTATTTAAAAGCTATGGTAAATATGAAGCCTGCAATAAAATGCACAATGCAAAAGATGAGCAGCAAAGAGTTAAGAAGTACTGTTACCAGCAAGTCCATTCTGCTGAAATCTGTAGCATGAGAGAAAGCAAACTGAGCTGTTAATAAAAACGATCACACAGTTCTGGCTGTGGGCAAAAACACATGAAATGCTTGCTATCTTCCAGTGGCTGTATGCAATTACCTACCACACTCACTGGGCACACAACGACCTCCTCACCTGTCTGTGCAAGTCAGAGCTGAGGGCATCATTAGAGGCAGTGCAGAGATGCACCAGCAGCAAGGATTACCTGAACTGTATGGCATCCATGGTGGCCAGGTACAGGGAATGCAGTGTATGCCTCCAACACTGGGACTGCAGCAGAATTCAGTGCCACTGCTGAGGCCTGGCTTTTGAGGGGTTCAGAGGTCTTTCTCTGACAGACAGCACGTTGTGCATTAAAGAGCTGAAAACAGCTGCTTGCAGAGATCTCAATCTCAAGCAGCAAAACACTTCTAGCTCGCTGGTAAGCAAACATGAGGACCCTAAATGCCAGTAGGTGCAGTGCCCCTCACATCTTCAATTTCCCCTTACAGAAACAGCAGAAGAATCCCCATAGCACACACGCCCAGTTACAGATCACACAAATGTATGCATGGCTCATCACACAAAAGACAGAATCTTCCATATGTACTTGGTTGTGCATTATGGCTTCTTACTCCCCAAACTGAAAAGCAATCAGTGTGCACGTGCTAGCTATGACAGCTACCCACCTCACCTTCTCAAGAGGCACTGATACCCTGAACCTGTGGTTTTTGTTCAAGCACCCCATCAGCTTTTTGGGTGGCTTTGTGTTGGTTTTTTTTTTGTTTAAGCTCCTATAATAAACACCTTTAGCTGCTACACCCCACAGAACTCAGCACTCCAAAGCCTTCATTGCAGTGCACTGCCCCTTTCTCCCATCCCAGGCAGTGTTACTTTCTTCCAAAGGACTGAGCACATCAGAAGCTACACACACTCTGACCTTGTGCTCATATGCACTCAGTGCAGCCAAGATTTATGCCCTGGAGGGGGACACCAAGATATGTCATGGAGTGCAGTACTGAAAATAACACTCAGACCATTTATTTTCTGACTTCTGAAGCTGCTGATTAAACAGCAGAGGTTGCACAGAACTACGATCTAAGATCTCTTAACCTCACTCCATCATCCCTTATCCAGGCTGAGGTTCAGATGGGATGTATCACTTCAGGTGATCCAGCTGTAGCTGGATGCATCCATTTACCAGCCTGTGTTTTTATGTGGATCTGGGGGCACTTCATGCTGAGCTCTGACTGTTGCAGCCAGCAGTCCATAAAAAAAAGCAGTACATAGCAAAAGCTGTGGCTTTCTTCTGCGAGCTGGGTAGCACCTGCTCTTTTCTGTTCTGAACTGCCATCATGGCAAACAGCTCTGAATTCTTGTCCCCACTGAGATGGACTGAAAACGAAACCATCTGATAAATATTTATGCAGCACGGCAGCTGTGGCATCCCAAGGAGATGCCTGGTACTGGAATACTTCCATGGCTCACAGTGCCACTTACTACTAAAATCAGGTACTTCAATTAACCCGTGACACAACAGCAGAACCATCTCAAGAGAAACTTACGTATTTATTTCTGCTACACAGCTCCACAGAATGAAATTCTCCTAGAGGGAAACAATAACACAAATTCAATCAACACATAACTTAATAGCCAACAAGAGGGAGATTCTGGTTTTCTTCCCACTGCTCCTGTGCCCTCGTAGAGCTAACAGCCTCCTTCCTCCAGCAGGATGCTTCCAACTGCTGTCCTCCTTTCCTGCAGTTGTGCTTATCATTATTCTTCATTTGGAAGACACTCTTTTACTCTGTCCAATTTATCCAGAACCTCACTATAAAGGCCGACCATCTGGAGAATGCAAGCACGATGGTTGATTCAGTCAACAAGGATGTATAAAGGAGAATCATTCAGTAGGTAATACAAAGCAATGGCAGGGAACAGGAGTAGGGAAGTAGGTGGGAGACTAAAGCCAGCTTCTGAATCTAGAATCTTGGATTGATGCAAAGATTTTGGCACAGATTGAAACACGGGGCTTTAGCTTAAATCAGTGGCACCTCACAAAGGTGGATTTACTTATACTGACATAAAGCACAGCTTATAGCTGAGTCTTCTATCAATTAATGAACCTGTTCTTATTGTATTAACTGATGTGCTTAAAACAACACAAAGGTTGCAACCAGCTCCTGATTGTCTCATAGACAAGAGAATAAACCATGAGTGCATGCAGCCAGGCTGTACTGAGCTGCAGTCAAGACAGGAGCACCAGCCAGAACACTGCAGACAGCAGCTTACTTGTGACTAATGAAAAAGCAGCATTGCTGCTTTCTGCAGAGGCACTGGCTGTGGAATTTCACCCTCACAGACTAAAGAACAAGCTTGCAAAAATTCATGCAACAGGTGATTTAAGTACAGTGGTACAGCATCCTTCCCTTAGTGAAATGAGGCCATGGTCACAAATCACCTCACATCTATCTGTGCAGTCCTGTCAGTAAAGACTCTGCATCACTCCTTCCACTGTGCATCAAATCTATTCCGGTCTCACTTGGAGAAAAATCGATTTTGGTTCCCCCAAAATAGGCAAGGCCAGGTTGGATGGAGCCCTGGGCAGCATGGTTCAGTGTTAGATATGGAGGTTGGTGGCCCTGCATGCAGGAGGGGGGGTTGGAGCTTCATGATCCTCGAGGTCCCTTCCAACCAAAGCCATTCTATGATCCTATGCAGGTGCCACGCTGCTCCTGACAGCCTTTAAACCACAGGCAGTGGTTTCTTCACTCAGATCCACACCTTCACAACACAATTCCACTTCTTCCCCTCCACAGCTGACTTCTACCACCACATACCCAGGCATCCACTCCCATTTCCATCTGCTCACACTTACATGTCCCTCGTAGCTTTTCTTCAGTGATCCTAAATGATTGAGGAAACGCATTCCTAATCCACACCACTGCTCTGCTTCCTGATATTTACCAACAGTATACTGAAATATCCCTGTGTTCCAGGCTCTTGTCATCAACCAAAGGATCTCCATCTCCGGATAACTATCCTGGAGTAGCAAACAGAACGGGAGAATGGTGGTGCTTTATTTTTCCCCTACACAAAGGACAATTCTTTCAGAGTTATCACATGCTTCACTGAAACTTGGCCTGAAATATCTCTAAAGAAGCCTTACAAAAAAATCAAGAAAGCCATTTCTAAAAAAGCCATTTCTACTGAGGTAACTTCAGTGCATCTTTTACTGAAGAAGTCTAAGCTGCTTCATAGATAACACTGTATAATGTTTTACCTACTAATTATTCTCAACTTGATGAAAAAATAAATGTTTTAAATGTGCTCAGAATCATTTCCCAATCTCCTGTTTTCTTGTTCAACTTACTGAGCTGCTGACTACATTCAGAGCATCTTCAAAGTAGCCCCACACCTCCTGCAGCACACAGGCATCCAAGTCTGTCACTCCAGTTGGCAAAGAAAGATTAATCAAACTATGCAAGCAGTTGCTGGGAATCAAAACAGAGTGAAAGAGGAAATATGAAATACCTCAAGCACAGAGCAAACAGCATTTTAGCACCTGCAGCACAACGACTCGTGCCTCTGACTGCCATCCTGATGCATCCACCTCTGTGCTTAGTGCACCTGTATCTGTACAGACACCTTCTCACTCATACAAGCTGTGCAAAAAGAGACCCAAGAGCAGCTGTTCTGTATTGTAACTGCTGGGCTTGTAGCATTTTCATGGGATGCTATGCATGACAGCAAGGAAAAAAGAGAAGACCCTCAGCTCCTGTTTGTGAAACGAGAAAAGTGCTCAGCATCCTCACAAAATCAGTAAGAAATACACAGCTGCTGAAAACAGTGTGAAAAGGGAAAAAGAGTAGCAATGGCTGCCTCTGCCCACTGGTTGCAGCACAGAACTCAGGAAGAAGGAAAAAAAATCCTTTATGAGATAGATCTGAGAGAAGACACGCCTGGTTGTTTGTCAGATCCCACAAGCTACAGCTGTCACAGAGCTGGTTACCCAGCAGAATAAATTGTGCATGTGCTACAGCATCTTATTGCTAGCTTACACCTCATGGCTTTCTTCTCAGCCTTTAATATGTCTTAATTTTCTAGTTCATTACTTCACTGCTGCAGAGGAGCATTTGGAACAAACACTTGTATAACAAGAAGCAGCCAGGAACGCTTTCTAGATCATTTTCCTTCCTCAATAGATTCACTTATTGCAAACATGACCTTCAGAAAACATGCCCAGCAAACAGGTTGCAGTCATCACACCTGTTAGACAGACACACTGCAGTGGCAGATTGGTTGGCCAGCAATTCACAGCAAGTTTAAACATGAGCTAAAACCCACCTTTTCCAGCTGAAGACTTTGTTCCCTACCACATTTCAAACCATGGGTTCAAGACAAACGAATGTGGTAACACTCACCTAAATTTCACAGCATCAGTGGTAGTTTGCTTTCTGTAAAGGCTCAGGGCACTCTTCAGAGCTTTCTTACACAGCACAGGATACCGAGCTGGAGGTTCCATGGCTAATGCTATAAAATAAATGTTAAAAATTAAAGAAATGGAGAAGAAGGAAATGATTGGAGCTAGACTTCATGGTCAGCATTTGCTCATTGCCTGGGCAGGTCACAAGCTAGTGCTTCTCTGCCATCTTCTTAGCTGTAGACTCATCAGTGAGGACTACGAGCAGAAGCACAGCAGATTGTCCACTGCTGCTGCTTACAGTCAGTGCAGTAACCCCAAAGTAGCAATGGGCTCTACAGAAACAAGGATCATCTTGATTGTGTCCTAGGGCATGAAAATCTACATTGAAAAATCAGGCAGCAGAGGGATTTGAGTACAGCTTTTCCCCCACGTGCATCTCCTTAAGAGAACACAGATAAACAGGTGCTTACACAACTGTGCAGAATCCCTTCCAGTTTTGCCATGGTGGATCTACATTTTACACATCTTTTTTTGTTCTTATGCTGTATTCTCACTGGAACTTTGTGATGAAGATGAGGTGTAGCTATAGAAGGATTATTTACAAGTTAACTACACTAAGCTGAAGAAGCAAAAGCACCCTAAAATGTCTGTGTTGGAACATGGAGCACCTAGGGCTGCTCTCTGGCCTTTGCCAGTTTTGGAGCCTGTAAAAGTTTATCTGAACAGCTTGTTCCAGACTCGAGACTTACACAAATGTCTCAGGTTCTAGAAATTAGAGGACATCACAAATTACTGGTTCATCATCCACATAACACAACGACATTTCAAAGCACAGATCTCCTAATACTGCTGAGATCCTAAGCATCTTTGTTTCAGGACACAATATTAAGCTCATTTCCTGCACGATGTACCATACACAATAATCCTGGTCACCTCAAATGTAGAGGAAAGAGTGGCTTGAGCTGATTCTCATGACTTGAAGAACTATAGAAGAACAAATGCAGTCCTTACATGCAATGATTTCTAGTGTCTTGATCTCTATGTGTGGTTGCTCCCACAGTGACTCCATGAAGTTATTGAGTGCTGGATCATTAAGCTTGGATCTTGCTTCAAATTCATAGAGCAGCAACAAAGTGTCTGTTGGGTCTTTAGAAAAATCTCCTGTAGGAAAGATAGACTTGCCTGTATGTAATGATTCATTTTCTTAAAGCTAAATTGTGTACAAGGTCAATATTTCACTTCCAACAGGCAGGAAAACCATTAACAAACATCCTCAGATTGAACAGCACAGGAAGTAGAAGCTGAGAAGTAGTTGTGGATGGAATCCCCAGATGCCAAATGCACAACCCCACCATCCCCATGCTTCAAAGCCACCCCCAAAATCCAGGTTGTCTGTAATTGGCTGAATGATTGCAGCCTGGACAAAAGTAATAGCTACCAGGAAAGCCAATGGCACAGCCAGGTAAAGCAGATAACAGAACATCACTGCCTGAAAAGCTTTTGAATGATGTTACCATCAGCTTTCAATTCTTCTAGAGGACTCGTCCCCTCTCTGGTAGGAAACCCTCAGGAAAGAGAGTGGGAGAACAGCAGAACCACTAAGGCACAAACCAACATACATGCCAGACCAGCCTGTGCTATCACCAAGACCTTGACTCTTACATCTAAAAGACATTCTCAGCTTCATCCAGAGCAACAGGCTTGTCCACACACTGGCTAAAGTCTAGAGAATAGAGAAGGAAAAGCCAGGCTCCATTCCACAAATCTCTACAATAAAAACTCCCATCTAGTGAAATGTCCACATCCAGAGATAATCAACCCAGTGGGATTTTAGGGATGGAGATAAAGAGAACTCCAAATCCAGTCTATATAATGAACCTTTAGTTCAGAAACAATAACATCTGGGGGGAAGGAGGAGCAGCAAGTAAATTTTTTGACAGAACTTAAACACTAATGCATCTTACAATGGAAACTCAGCAACTTCTGAAGCCTATCACTGAAAAGAAACCAGACCACAGGTCAGACAAGGAATGCCTGATAGAGTTTTTCTAGTGATGTATGACCAAAAAGAGGAAGCACGTAGCCTCTAAGCTAACAGTCACACAGCATGCCAGCTGTCAGCAGCTGAAAGCCCTCCATTCTCCTGTGATCAGCCTGAGCTGTGCTGACACGGAATTGCCAAGGAACAAAGATGGGTTCTGACACTTGAGAACGTGGCAGTAGGTCCTTCTGTATTCTCCAATGCCTTTCAAGGGAAGAATCAGTAAAAGTATTAAAGCACACCTTACTCCAGACTCCAGTGCAAGAGCGGAGCCAGGAAAATTGCGCAGATCTGCTACCAGTCTGATTAGAGCAAAGAGCTTCAAGTTTCCTAACAGTGAAGACAGAAAAGTCAATCCAGTTCACTCTAAAAGATCATTCCCCCTTCACAGCACCTGTACAGCAAAAAGCCAGCAATGACACACAAAAAAGCCACAGCTGGCACTGTAAATTCTCATGCTATATTGTCCCATATGTCTCAGCACTCCTCAGCAATGACAGTAGCTCCACATGCCCTGTATTTTCAGTGAACACAGTGACTAATTGTACTGACACACACATTTCCCAGCTTACCCGTTAATTTCAGAACTTTCCATATCTCTCTGCACGCCTGGAGATGTTGGAGAGCCTGATTCCAAAACTCCACCTGATTTACAAGGAGTTCAAAAGATTTCTGTTACGGTCTTACAGGAAAAAGGAACATACAGTTCACAACTGACAAGAGGAGAGACTTCCCCATGTCTAAGCATTTAATAAATGCAGAACCTGCCTAACATCATCCCCACCAGCTCCTGGGGGGTTGTGTTCTGTTTTCTCTCTCTTCTGTAATGACCTTCACTACTCAGGCAAAGCCTCTTCACACTGAAGGTTCTGTTACTTCAAAAAGGACCACGTGTGTCCCTGAAAGACATCATCTGTTTCCTCTTGAACATGCAGTAATCTTACTGAGACTGATAAACCACTGCTCACATAATAAACAAGGTAGACTGAAGTTCCTTTAAGAATAGGCACTGTTGACCCTTTGCTGATACAAACCTGCTCAAATCTATTTAAGTCAATTGAATTACTCTACAGAAATCCAGCATTTTCAATTCGCTGGGTGTACTGATTCTACTGAATTATGGAAGGTTCCCATGCTTATACTTTCCATATCTCCTTCTGAGTAAAACAACTAAGGCTTCAAAATCAAAAGTAAAAAAACAAAGTAGTGAATGTTCATTTCGTGGATACAGATCAAATGAGGCAACAGAACAACACCCTACCTGCTCAGAAAGTGTTACTTCTTGTCTCCCCAGCTCCAGATCAATTGCAGCTGCCATTAACAAGCATGTCTTCTGAGCAATTAGAACAGCCTTGTCAGAGGGACAGAACTGGGATAACTGAAACAAAAATAGGAGGTAATGGGAACTGTGCCTATATAAAGCAATTTGCATGCTGAACAGAGGATTGTCAAGTGCCTTCTATGACTTTTTCAGTACAAAGGGTGCAGCAGTTGGAGTTAAAAAAATTATATATATATACACACAAAAAAGCACAATGTTGGTAGAAGTTCTGCATGGATATTTGGACTCCAGTACTTGTCAGTGTAAAATGCTTCTATTCATGATCCAGCTCCCATACATGAGAACAAAGGTACTTCAGGAAGATCTCACTGAAGTCTACATGTCTTGCCATACTCTCAGTGCTCAGGTTGTAAAGTATAACAGTGGTTAAACCTTATATTGCAAGGCCATTTTTTTCTGACAGTGCTCCATTCTCAGAGCACACGAGGGCTTCTCCAAGGAGATACATGGACGTAACTTCTGACAGCAGCAGACTGTGACAGTGTCAGTACATACCTTGAAAGACAGGACAAAAAAATCCCTCATCTTTGCAGGGCAGTCCTTGAGCTGCACAGCTAAGTTCCAGGCTAACAAAGACATAAAAACCAAAGGCTAGAATAACAATCTTAGACATGTTACTGGTTATGCCCATCTAATCTCCAATGGGCAGAACATATCGTGCAATTCCATTTCTTCATCCAAACATCATCAACAGGTCGCTTAACAGCAAGGGATACCTATGCCAGTGATTTGTTAACATCTTATTCCTGCTTTCAAATCTTGCTTTGATAATTTCATCCCAATCCAGTGTCCATTCTAACATGTATTCTCTCACAAGAGCACGAATTGCATGAAGCATTTTCTTGTCAGTAAACAAGATCAGAATCTGAATAAAAATACTGACCAGTATTCCCAAGTATTAAACAGAACCACAATCACACCATTCACCACTGATGGCAGCACATTCATCTGAGCTTTCTAATGCTGATCTAATCTGCATAAGAACATGCATACTCAGTATTTGTTGCTATTTTTTTAATTGCCCTTAGTGATTTTCTGAAAAAAAATTGCTGCTGGTATTCCCTATTTGTGTGACCTCGCATTTGACTTCAGTAAAAGTCAAAAGGAGAAAAAATAGGAGCCCTGCATAGCTGCATCATGGCACAAAGAGCTGCTGAGGTACCGAGCAGGGCCAAACACCCCATCAGTCACACAGACCTCATGCAAGTATTTGTCTGAGTTGAAATATGAGTTACAGCAGGCAGCTTCAGAAGACAGAAAATGAACAGACCACTTAAAGCAGAGACTGCCAAAGGTGGCGCTTTCCATAGCACTGCACCTTCAAACACTTCCTCCTTCCTTAACATCAGCCTAAGTGGAGGTGATTCACTTTAAGTCTTAAGAGTGCAGCTTACCAACTTTTCTAAACCAGTGGGCTTCTGAAGTCCTTACATCTCTTGTCAAATTCTCCTCTGTGAAAGGCTCAGCAAGTTTCTGGTGAGCTGCAGAAAATGTGTTCTTTAGGAGACAGGTTGCATTTTCTAAGCAGGACACAAACAATTCCAAGTCTAATAACTACATTACAAATACCATTTTTTCAAAGCTCCCATGCAATCCCTGATGAAGGGTTATTCTCACAGCTTATATCTAATATGACTGACCACAAAAGCTTAGAAAACAAACTTCAGAAGGTGTCTCAAACAGCATTTAGGATAAGATGTGAGGCTCCCAGGAGCTACTGCCTCTTCAAAGGTTGTTGGCACTGAAGCCTAATGCAGAGGAGTTTAACTGAATTTGCTCAAAAAGTTGGGTGGGGATTCGATTTAATAAGTGTTGTTTAAGGATTTTCTTCAAGGAACATTTATTTCTTTTACTGCTCTGTTCATTCTCTTCTGTAAGCCCCAGTCAAGAACGGCGAGAACAGGAATAGTTCAGTACTTCATTAACTTTCTTTTCCAAGACAGGGGAAAGCAGTAGAAAAGATTAATGAAATAAGAATTTATGTGGATGGGAAAATCTTCTGTAAAACTCCTGTGTGTATTCCAAAGCAAACAAGACAATTCTTTTTCAGTGAATGGCACAGCTTAAAAGTAGCACCTGATTTTGACAAGGCTCTCCTCATCTTTCAGCAATTTGCTAAAGCTGCTTAAAGTTTTCTAAGCCTTACAAGGCAAAAGAAAAACCAAACCTTAAATACCTCCCAAAACAGCTAAAACAGCAAACACCATCACTGGCATTTAACTGACACCAACAGGAAGCTGTGCTGCTAATTGATGGAACAAAACCAAACTTCTTCCTTTCTGAAGACACCAACTTTGTTTCTGCCTTTAGGATTGAGACCCAACCTCCCCAGCACTGCTGAATCCCCTGTTTAACTTGGGGAGCTGAGAACGTGGGCTGAAATAAGGAGTCAGCACGGACCTGATCGTGTCACAAAACATTCACAAATGGAGGGACTACAGAAAATGTAAACACAACAAAAACGTACCCAAGGTCAGATAAGTCAGCATCGACTTGAGGTCTTCATCTCTAAAATGGAGGGGAAAAAAAAAATCAGGTTTTAGATAATATTTGATTAATTGTCTTGCAATAGAACACATTATTGATGCAGGAAGACAACAGCTCCTTAATAACAGATACGATCACTCTTCTGACAGATACATCAGGCATTAGAAACCTCCGGCATTTGAAGGTGCAGAGGGCCTGCAAAAGATTTTAGTGACAGCAGTGAAGGTAGAAGTGTAGGAGATTTTCTCAGTCAGTAGGATGCAGGTAGGGGCTACAGGAGAATCTGATCTCACTGACATCCCCTGTCTTCTTGCCAGCCACAATCCAGCAGTACAGCTCTCCTTCCATGCTATCACACTGCCTGCAACACGGCCAGCCTTCAGCAAGGGAGGTCTCACTCTCAAGTTCTCACTCAGAACTTGTGTAAGATATCTCAACCTTGTGTCGATGTTAAAAAGAATGCTTAGCTCATGCTCCCATTAAACAATAAAACTGGAATGCAAAAAGCAAGTATTTAAAGGAAAGGTGATACAAGCAGATGCCTCTGCGTGACACCATTAGTCCACAGTGGGAAGTCATCTGGGTGCACTTTTAACTAGTAAAAAACTAACCTCTTGATTACTCCTAAGGAAAAAAAGTCTCTGTTGCAGTTTGTATAATCTGTCTGCCATAAGAACACATTTTACAGATGTACTCACCTTTTCTCTTCTTTTTCTACTTTTGACAACGTAAGACGAACCAAACATCTGAATGTGAGAAAAAATAACAGTGAAGAAACAAGATCTTTTTTTTTCCAACAGTGTACTTTGCCCTCAGGTTTCAGACAGGATCCCACTTTCTTCCTTATGCCATCAGTCCACGTAGCTCACAAAAGAATCTGGTGTCAAGCTGAGAAGAATATTGTAATATTTCCCACCCCACTGCCTTATTTCATATACCATTTTGTTAAATCAGGTAATAGAAAGTAAATAAATGTACTTTCAAAAAAGTTTCAAACAAAAAACGGAAAGAAGAGGTTTTTCTTGCAGTGTTTGTTTTTATAAGCAATAGAACATTTCAACAGGACATCACTTCATCACAGGACACAGCTGAGCTGGTATTTTCACCACAGGAGTTGCTGCAATCTCAGTCGAGTTGCTGTTGGTCATTTGTTCAAATCACAATGAAGTCATAAACTCAGAGCTTGCCTGGAAAAAGCCTGAAATGTATACAGACTGTAGGAATCTGGGCCTGAGGAACATCCCCATTGTGAAAAGCACTGCTAACTAATCCTTCATCTGCTCTGCTTTCCACCTTCCTCAACAAAATCACTTCTGTTGGAAAGAAACCAGAGTTCCCTTCCCATGTAAATATCTCACACCCTCACTTTAAAGCTGCAAATACTTGTCGGCAGTCTTGGGAACGTTCAGACAGGTGCTCCAGAGCTCTGATAGCCACAACTTGTTGATCATGCTGAAAAGAAAACAACAAAACCAGCCATGAAAGCACAATTTGTATAAAGCGTTCTTGCTCAGTTTCCACAAAACAAAACAATGAAGAAAAAGAAGAGCAAAAGATCTGCACAGAGTTTCCCTCAGAGCTGAAAGAAAACCATAGGGAGGGACACAATTCCACGTGCAAAGAGCCTAAAGCAGTAACAGGCTCAGTACAACTCGGCAAGCTCTTCATGCCTTAGAATGCTATACAGCCCTACAAAGCATCCAAAAGATAAACGAGTTTCCAGTCCTTCATCATTGCCTTATGTAATTTTGGACAAAATCCCAGGGGTAGGGAGAAATGTAACATTTTGCTGAAGAGAATTTTACAGAAACACGCCATGACATTTCTAGATACTAACATTTACAATTCAGAATCACTTGTTCTCCAGAAAAATAAGTATATGTTCAAATAACAGTTTATTCTTATATGGAGTCAGTTTGCACTTTGCTTTACACAACGCATCTCAGAACATACAGTGAGACTTTGGTCACACAAGCATTAAATACTTCAAAATGCATGAAGCAGAAATACTAAAAGTAGGCCAGGTTACAGAGGTTACAGCTGTCCTACTTATAGAATAAGGCAAAATAAAGACAGTGTTTTCTGTTCTACCTCTAAAGCAATTTGGGCAGCCAAACTCAGGAGGTTACTGCTCATACTTTCATCCACTACCAGCTTGTCTTCATGTTGAGATGGCTTTTCAGCTAGCTTCCCCATTTCAATAATTGCTTCCACAGCTGAAATATACATAGAGAAAAATCAGTTGTTGGGGTCTTTTTTGTTTGGTTGTTTGTTTTTTTTTAGTGGAAGCAATGGGAAGGTGTAAAGTTCCACTGTTTTAATAAGGCTTTAAATACAACTTGTAAAAAAATAAAATCACAGCCTTTCATAAGAAGAAAATCAAGACAAGAAAACCTGACCGTACCAGCAGCTCTCCACAGCTGTGCATTTCTTCCTAGAGGGGCCAAAAAGGCATTCTAAGCTCCTAGTCTAAGGAAACAAGGATGCCACACAAATGAAACTGCATCTCACATATTCTCAATTTTGCTCTGCTAAATATCTTTCTGTCGCAGAAGCCTTTCTTTAATCCATTGCCTGGGCAAGCTTCCAAGCTCCCACATCTTGGTTCATGTTAAGGCTGCTGCTGCTTTTATGCTCCTGCTGTGCTGTGGTTCCCACCCTGTATTATATGAGCAAATTAGGCTGCCATTTAAAAGACATATAGAGAATAATTCATCAGCACAGATCTCATTGAAGAATAAGATCTGCATGTTACTCTGTACCCTAGTTAAGTCTGTAGATGGTATTTCTCAATTTTAATTATTTGAGCTAAGAATCTCACTAAAATATGAAGCAGCAGAAGAAAAAGTCTACAGACATATGTCATTCTGTAAGTCATCTCAGTCAGCTCATGTATTTTCTGGTAACTTCAGGCTCTGCTTGACCAGAGAAATCAAGAGCAGTGATAAAGGTTCATCTAGCTCTGTAGTGTTTTTCCAGCTGTACACACTCATAAAAGAACTTTAGAAATAGCAAGTCTACAATGATTCTCACCCTGGGATGCTGCCTTAGCTTTTGCCCACAAGATTAGAGAATTCCAAGCCAAAGACTCCACACAGATTACACGCTATGTGTAAAACAACATCCCCCTCTGACAGCCCAAAATCTACAGGCTGACAGTTTCAGTGATTTCACAGACACTTCTCCTATCTTCTCTCTATTATGTCTTTCCCAGAATTAACAGTCCATGTCTGCTGAGCATTAGCTACGACACTAAACGCTTCTGATCGTTGTAGAGAACCTTTTTGCCTTTCAAGTTCTACCTTTATCAGTGTCATTCTCCATCACTGCAATCTTATAGATGCTGAACTGAGTAAAGATGCTGTTTGGATCACACCTTTCTGCTTCTTTAACTGCCTCTTTAGCCTATACACAGAAAAGAAAGGAATTCAGTGCAATGATACGACAGGAGAGAGCTAAAAATTGTAATGGTTTCATTACAGATGTTCACACAACTACTGTACAAGTTTGGTTTGGCAACAACCCCCCCAAAAGAAAAGTGATCAGAGAGAAGATAACACCAAGGACAGACAATGACTGTAATGAGGAAGAAAGCAATTCCTCCATTGGAGCCACAGAATTAGAAAGCAGAAGAAGCCCTGAGAATGCTGAGAGATTAAAACTCCATTCTGCCACTTTGAACTGTGAAGTTCAACATCCCCAAATCAGAACTCAGACAGGTGATGCACATGCACAGCTCTGCAGGGCTGAGTGCTAACAGTGCGTGGAAGTGTCACAGTGTGACAAGTCAAATACTTTTTCTGCTGAGGCTCATCTGTCTTGAAGGGAGGATGGCCCCTAATCTGAGAAGAAACCTGATGCTGTGAGGCATGCTAAGACAACCTGTGCATCGTTTCCCCTGTTACAAGGATGGGTGATAGAAGAGGCCCCCAAAGCAGTGAAGATAACCAGTGTATCTCTCAGATCCTCTCAATGCAAAAGAGGTACAGGAACAAAAATGTAAACTAAGTCCAAATGATACAGCTACAAACACAAAAGCAATGTTATTAAACAAACATACCTTGTCAATTTGTTTCAGATGAAGATAGCAAGAAGCCATATTTCTCTGCAACTTAGCCAGATTCTGATCTATCTGCCCAGGTGTATAGAAGCTGACAGAATAGTTGTACCAGTTAAGAGCTTCAGAATAGCTTTTTGCCTAGGAAATTAAAAATAAAAGGAAGAGGCATGATTAATTGGCTTGTTTTCCTAAATCAAACAAAACCATCATAGGAAATGAAAGATTCAGATAGTAAAGTAGGCTTTTTCCCAGATGAGCAGTCACTGAACCCCCAGCACAGGCACATTAGTTAGGAGAACAAATATTTTACCTATTCCTGCTATTCCACTACAGATGTCTCAGTGTAAGGAATATTTTAAGGTTTTTTGAACTCTTCCCAGGGCACAACCAGAACGGTGGGCTGCATGGCTTCTGTGGCTGATCCATTCTGGTCTAACTGTTCCCATTTACAAACCTGGAGAGGAACCTACCTGAAGCCTGATGTTTGAATGGAAAAGAGCACCTATCAGGATGAAAGTCAAACCAGTTCCAAATGGAACAGGGATTTTACTAACAACTTCCCCTCTATACAAAGCCAGACATATCAAAGAAGTCAGAAAAAGAAGATCTTCACTTTCACTCATACAAACATCAACGCTACAGAGTTCCAAACCTCATAATGTTTGGCAGCTGTGTCCCACAGGATGATGTGCAGTCGGTTCAAGGTTTCAGGCAGCAGCTGTTTCCCAGTGTAGTGACCTGAAAAGATACTGCAAGTCATCACTTTACAAGAACTTTAACCACACTGAGAGAACTACCTGTGAGCTATCTATGTTTAAAGCAACTGTCCTGTTGCCTAAAACAAGAAACAAAAACACAGCAATAGCTTCATCCAGGATCCAGTGCTCCAGATCCTGCTTCTGGAAAGAAAAAGTAGCAACCAAGAGAATAACTACTGTCATGCTCTAATGATGACAGCATGGCTTTTGCACCTAGCTAAATGCTACATAAAGCACAGTCTGATTTGCAGCAGATACCACAGCCAAGAAGCACGACTGTGCTACAGGTGCAAAGGACCTGAAAAGGAACCTGTAATTCAGCTGCTCAAACAAGGACATGCAATCTGTTTTAATGCTGATATACAAAAATACATTGAGCTGGATGGGCAAAGCATTAACATCACACAGAATTTCTAGCAAATGTTTATGTTCCCACATGCATCAAACTCACACAGCCCACACTAAGAAGAAGGAACTGTTTTAGCAAGAGAATTTAGCCTGAAGCTTTATCATAGCTGTCATTCATTATGGAAGTTGAGAGTTGCCATGCCAAAGAAACAGAAGGGAAGGTAGACACAAACAAAAAGAAAGATGAGAGTATATTAAAAAAATAAAATCAGAATTCAAGGCTGGCCAACTAAATGCAGCTTTCAGTAAGTGGCAGCAAAACAGGGATACAGACCTATAATAATTTCTTCAACCTTTTGCTTAGCAAGCAGCTCCCTCTTATTCTGCAACAAGAACTCGATGTAGAGCAGGGTGACTTTTCCAAAGTCAGGTGAAGCTTCAAATCGTTCAGCAACAGATTTCAGGAAATCAAAGCCAACTGATTCCCTGTTCACATTGACAGAATTTTAAGAGGCTGCACATAAAAAGCTGTTAATTTTCCATTCTAAAGAGTAACGTTCACACATTCAGTGTGTTTCTCGTTGGCATTACTGGCACACAACCACACTGACAGAGTCAATCAAGGTATGAATGCACCACAGTTCATCTATTCTGTAGTCACTTCCTATTAGCACATGCTTGTTCTACAGTATTCACAAGATAACTTTCATCTCACAGTGACAGAGTTAGAAGTTACTGCAAGACAGAAGTGCACATGCAGGTGATCACAGTGCAGCAGTCCACACTGTGAAATGTCATGCCTTTGTCTTGCAATCTGTTCAACCTCATACTGTTTTTCACTGGGACTCCTAAACCTTTAATTTTCAGCGTTGGTTAGTTAACAGGGAAGAGAAATACAATTCCAGACCTGTGGCAAATACTAGAACTACATGGAGATGATCCTGATTATTCCAAAGTAAGGCTACAATATTGCAAATCACCACTAGACTTTGTTTCTCACCCTGCTGTGCTAATATGTACCACCTTCCCACTGCACAGATAGGCTGCCTATAAAAAGGGCTTCCCTGCCTCTGCCAGCTCCTAGGTAAAGCGTCACTATGTAATAGAAGATCTTTGCTTATAGAGGAGCAGCTACAAAGCCAAATATTGTGTGTTCACTGCACTTAATGGTGCTTTCATACCTTCCATGCTCCAGCAGCAGCTTGGCAGTATTCAAACAAAAGTCTAAAGACATCTCATGGTGCTGGAATTCTGCAACAGCTAAAAAGAGCACAATGCTGTTAAGATTATTCAATCAGCTTCAGACACATGACAGCTCAATGTATGGTCTTACAAATTCTTTGAGGGGGAAAAAAAAAAAAGAACCAAGTAGTTCTAAAACCAAGGAAGAATAAGACACGTCAGCTGTGTTCTGACTTTCCTCTCTGTCTCACAATTAAAGTAACACTACAGAACGTGACAGCCCTGGTATTCCAGCCCTGCAGTCCCTCTGCTAACACTGGCTGTTATGGCCCAAATGCCAAATCAGAACTGTGACATTTAGCATGTGAGAATTCCTCTAGAACACACAACAAGGAGATGCTGGTTTTTCCCTTCTCAATCTGTTCACTCAGGCTGTCCAGTCGGACATGGAAAAGCATCACCTTCCCATGGCACCTGCACAGAACTGTGCTACCTGAGCTGATGTCTTCATCTGATGCTCCACTTTTAAGAAGAATTTTAACTTTCAGAAAAAACCCTGCTGGATGCAAATTCTCCTGCATAGGGAAAAACAATCCATCACTTGGATATTCTACTCTTTGTAGAAATTTAGGGCAGAACAACAATGGGAACAAACAGAAATAATAAAGGCTTTCTACTGCAGCTTTCATTAAAATACTGTATATATCAAACTTCAGAATAACATTTTTCTTCTAGCTTTCCATATATTACCAAAAAATATACTATCAGAACACTCTTCCATTTCAGACACTTTTCTGAAGGTAGATACAGAACACAAACTGCTCAGACGTAGCAGTAATGTATTACAGGAGTGGTTTGAATGCACTGCCACTTACCCTGACCTCACCAGCATCCTCAGCACCTCCCTCTCAAAGCTTTCCTGCTATGTTGAAAACTGGATTTGAGCTTTCACCTCCAACAGGATTTTATACTTACGATTTATTTTGTGTGACTCAAATAACAGAAGTTTAAGAATGGTCAACAAACAACGAACTGAAAGGTTTTGAATTCAAGTTTTTTCAGTAAACTGAAGACACAGAAGAATAAAATTAATCCCACTCCCTACATGGCAAATGGAATTTCTATGAGAGCACAAGATCTCAGAGCAGCAGCTGCTTAGAGATATACGAACTCTCTTCAGCTACAGTTCTTTTTTCAGCTTCCTGAAGAAAAACAGTCAAGCTAGCAAGGCAAAACAGTTAAATTAACTGCTTAAAATAAGGCTGCTGTTGGCATGGAACTCTCTTTGCTCCTTGCTCAAACATTTGTAAGGGTAATGAAATGGGGACTCAAAACGTAGTATGGAGATACCCACTGGAAACCAAGGTCAGGCAGTTTTCATGCCATTTAGTCACACCACTGTCAGTGGGTCTCACTGCTAATAGAACCACAGGCAGCAACACTGCTCTGCATCTACATACTGAGCTGGGCTTCTCTAGAAAGGTACAAATATCAAAATGTATTTAGGAGCACAAAAAGCAAAGCAAAACCAGCTCAGCCCCTAAGTCAGCTGATTTCAAGGAAAACACCAGTGGTCTGTGTCACGTTAGCAGATGTTAATAATGCTAGAGTTTCAGTTACTGCACACCACAGATATCAGAGCACACCACTACCTTGTTTGCCAAGTCGATAGCCTTCAGTGCCTTGTCAAGATGCAGGCTGCAATCCCACTCGAAATAGGCAGTTGCTAACAAGCGCAGCGCTTTTGCCTGGAAAAAGCAAAGTTCAAATCCAACAGCAGGAAGAACACAGGAACTCACACAGACACAAAAGGCTTAAATTTTAAGGCCACGAGAAATAAAGCTCTCTCAGTCGAAAGAATGCTCGTCTGACAGCAGACGTGTGACTGCTCAGCTCAAAGCTCGAGCAGCAGTGCTGTGTGCGGAGTCCTGACAGGACAGGAATCAACCAGAGAGCTCAGGGAGCAGAAGAGTAATGAGGAAATTCAGAGATGTGTTAAAAAAAAGAATGAAAGAAGAAATTAAATGAACAAGAGTTACAAACTTCAGAAAAAAAGACATATAAGAGAATGGCCTTCAAACACAACTCAGAAATGACAAGATGTATGTAATGATGATTTGAAAGAATGGGGAGGAAGGAAGGAATGATGGCCTCTAAGAGCCTGAGTCTTATTTTCCTACAGCTAAATCTCTGTGAAACAGTAGATTCAAACGTGATTAAGGGCACTTAATAGTGACTCAGCTCTCAGACCAATGCTCACAGCAAGGGGGTCTGCAGCTTTGCCAATCTTCACGGCGGACAGGACTATAGAAGAGGCCACAGAATGACTGGTCAGATTTGGCACAGTAGAAATAGCTGTACTGGAGTTATGCTAACCAAACCCTCCTATTTGCAAACAGCAATTTCTCTATTTCTTACCTGCATCTCTTTCCCAACAGAATTCTTCACGTCCATCTTCCCAATGTCGTAACTCTGGCTACCAACAACAAGGGAAAGTTAACATTACATGTGATGACAGGGATAAACTCAGCCAGTCCTCTGATATATACCACATTCCCATCCTTCCCCATCTCTGAAGCACTCAGAAACCTCATAAATCACACAAGCCAGTCTCAGTACTCCACCTTACAGGAGAACTGATTCTTTTATTCTGAATCCTCATTTTGAACACTGTTCTCAGTCGCTTCCTTCAACCTATTGCACCACATTCTCTACTATCTTCCATTTCGTTGGGCTCTGTCACTTCTAGCTAAAGGTGTCTGGAGGAGGTAACTGCTCTCACTCTCACCTGACAGATATTGCAGTCATACACAGAAGGTGTTTGTGACCCAGTCTCGAGATCACAGCAAATCAGTAGCACAAAAACAGGACCTGGAGGTCACAATTTCTCACTCATTACCTGAAAGTTGAAGGACAGCACAAAGGACCCCCCAGGGAAAACACAGCAGTAATTCCACGAGAGATTTGATGTCAAATGGTGCAAATTAAGCACCGTTAAAAACAGGACAATTGTTTCCTAATCTCATACAGCATCTCATCCCACTAGATGGAGCTAAATCTCTATATCCAGATAAATATCTGCTCTTGGTAAAGCCTTATTTCCTCCCCAAATTTTATCCCAGGACTCAGTGTTTAATTTTCCTCTAGAACAAAATATAAAATAATCTCCAAAGCACCAGCTGTAATCAACTCCAAGCATTTCTAATTCTGTGAATGCAAACATGACCATAAGCATCTTGAATTAGATGTGTTGGCATTTGTTTCCCTCCTGCGTATATAAAACAAAAAGAACAAGAAGAAATAAAAGCAATTCTCCTGCCCTTGGTACGAGGATACTTTTCCTGACAGCCAAGTTCTCTTCCTTAGCAATAACACAATACCTACTGGATGCTGCCCAAACCATCTCTACTGCTGCCCAGCTACTCATCTTTCACCTTGACGTTTGTGTCTTTCATCAGCCAGGCTTTGCTGTCAGTGAAGCAATTTTCCTCCCTGAGAAATTCAAATATTCCTTCAAAATAAATCTATTTGAAAACAGAAAAATTCTTTCACATTTCTCTGAAGTTTTCAAGTTCCATCACTACTGCGTGCAAGTGGCCTCTCCATAAATGCAATCTATTTGGAAGGAGCTTTAAGGAGAACAACTTCCACGTGGAAAGAAGGCTTTCATTTTAACGGCATGAAAATCAATGTGAAAAACAGACATAAATGTTAGGCAGGGGAGTACAACAGGCACTAAGTGTTTGCTCAGCCAGTACGGTTCAGTGAAAATCCTATGTTCCCTTATTTCCAATCAACCTTCTGCTTTCCCTCGCTCCCTCCTCTCCTTCACACAGATTTTTACCTGACAAAAGCAGATTTCTACATGACAAAAGCAACTTCGGTTGCCTTTTCACATTACCTGAGCCAAACGGAGCTCTGCTCATACTTCCTACAGTCATAGGTTTCCACTCCGAAGTTGTAACAGAGGATTGCCAGGTAACGGGTCTGCAACAAAAGGCTGCTGCTGCTACAGTGTTCTCATAGACACAGCACCACATCTATGGCACTCAGTCTCACGTTCTTTAAAGATACCCCCTGGGATCACTTCTGACCTTATTTGATAGGGCAGCAGTGAACATGACTAAAATCATACTGTTCTGTGGGAAAGTGAAGTGATGTGAGCCGGTTTAGGATGTGCAAATCAGAATTCTTCACTGCATGAAGCTGAATGGTTCCACAAGAAGCCAAGCTGAAAGCTCTACAACTGTGCAAAGCATGCAAAATAAAACTTGAGAGGAAAAAATGGAATATTACAACTTCCTTTACAAAAGTGACAAACGAGCTTTAATTCTGCATCGTTAAATGAACACAACTCCACCTCCTGCATGATAGCCTTTTTTCCAGCATGCAGCTTTGCATTATAAAAGGATGATCTGCACCACTGGTGAGAGGAGAAAAATGTGTTTGAATGCTTGGTTATTCGGAGCACTGCTGCTTTTTGCTTTATCAGTCAGGCCTGACAGTATCTGTTCATAACAACTTGTCTTTCAGCTGAAATGATTTGCAACTGTCATGTTAGCAGCTGTCCAAAGAGGAGACAGGAAAGCGTTTTCAATGCCAACAGACTGCTAATATTTGCATCCATTTCGCCTCCGTGGTAACTGTCTTTTCAAAGTACAAAACGTGCTCCTTGCGAGGGAATTCAAACCCTCAGCCAAGAACGAGAGCTGCAGAACAGCATCTTGCTTTAAACTGACTTATTTCTGATCTCACTGCAATCCAGAGACAAAAGCACAGATTCAGGGCGGGTGAACCAAAAAAAAAAACCAAAACGATCGCTCTCATAACCAAAATACAGCGAATGACTGCATTTCAGGCACCCCGCAGCACACAAAGCGCTCCCAAAACCTGCCAGCTCTCTGAGCAGTGAGCGTTCCCATAGCTCCGCAGCTTCATTAACATGAAGATTAGTGCTGAGGATTGACTTGCATATCAAAAGCCCAGCAGCTCAGCTCCTCTCTGGGCCCACCTGTTTGCAGACAAAAGTTCACCGGTAGGAGCAAAGAAGCAACACACAAGATAAAGAGGCACAGCTGTTTCTGCAGAAGAGCAGTGCCAGATTCTACTTAGAAATTCTTTTGCCTGTCTCGATTTCTTGTCTTCACGCATTCTTTAGGAAAGGTTTATCATTTTCACACAGGGTGGTGAGGCACTGGAACAGGTTGCCCAAGGAGGCTGTGGATGCCCCATCCCTGCAGGCATTCAAGGCCAGGCTGGATGTGGCTCTGGGCAGCCTGGGCTGCTGGTTGGTGACCTGCACACAGCAGGGGGTTGGAACTGGAGGAGCATTGTGCTCCTTTGCAACCCAGGCCAGTCTGTAATTCTATGATCATTCTATTTCAAATGATGAACTCTGAGCAAATGGAAAACCTAAAAACTTCGAAGGAAAAAAAAAACACCTGTCACTCTTCCACATAACCTGCAGTAAAAAAAAACCTCAAAGAAGCAAAAAAATACAGAAGACAGTGAGAGTTCTCAAAATATTTCTCAACATATAGCACGTGTCATTCTTTAATATATGGGGAGGAAAACATTTGCCAACTTTGGCACGATAAAGGAGGTATGATTTCACTGACCTCTCTCGGCAGCCTCACCAACATGTCCCTGCAGCGCTGCACGCATTGCGTTGCTTTCTGAAAATCCCCCTGAGCAACTGCCTAGGAAAGCAGAACAGTGCCAACAATCTGTAAGTTAACTACTTGCCTCTAAAATCTGCTACAAGGTTGGTTCTCTAATCTAAAAAGACTTGGATTGCAGGCCTTTTTTGCATTCAGTACAGCCGAGTTTGAGATAAGATACTTGTCCTTACAGTGCCACAATAATTCTGTGTGTTTTTATACACTGAAAGACATCCAGGAGTGCCCTGCAGCCCTCAGGTAGTGTGAAAGGCTCAGATCCAAGGCATGATTCATTCACATGTCAGATAACAGCAAATCTTGGACAGCTTAACAAGTGTTGAAACACCTCTCCAGTAATTTAAGGTCCTCTCGTCTCAATTAGAAGTTAAATGAAAAATTTTGGTCTGTTTAGGGAAGCTCCTCGTAATTTTGAAGACAGTAACCCCTTCTGCATTCTGAGATCAGTGCTGTTATCAGCAAATGGGAGCAGCTGATTTCTCTCTCATTTATACCCATGTGTCTGTAACGCTCTGTAGCGCTGACAAAGTACTCAGAAACTTCAGTCAGGCAGCAAAAGTCAGGACAATGCCTCTCAAAACAGAATTTCTGAATGATGTACTTTGAATTAATTTAATCTGCCCTGCTGATCCCCTACAAAACACTCAGCATATTTTCAAACTTCTCTCACGTTCAGCCAGACTTCTTTCCTTAAATCATCAATCATAATTCCTACCTTGCTGCACAGTGACAGAGCTTGAGACTTGAAGGAAGGTTTCAAATGCCATGGAACTCATTCTTGCCAAACATTGCCTTTTGATACCCATTCTCCCACTGTTTCAAAGCCTTTACATGTAAAAAGCAGCATGCATTGGGTCATGGAAGAGAGGGTATCCATGTATAGGAAGATTTCTATCCAATGTCATTGAACAGCAATACTTTGATTATATTGCTCATAAAAGTCAAGAAACTTGTAAGGTAGAGCAGACTGTGGACACGTGGCCTATAATATCTGCTTGTCAGACACGAATCCTGGCTACCAACAGCACCTTCATATGTTTTTCAACCAATTTAGTTGCAAATGCAGCACAGTCTGGTAAGTGCTTTGGAATGACCAATGGTGCTCTATACATGCTACACAAACGCAGCTTTGGGGACCCAGGCTCTAAGGCAGTTCTACCTGGGCAAGCACAGGTCACCTTTGGAACTGACACATGATTCAGAAAGGCAGCTGTTGTATAAACACCCAAATTACAGAGCAGCAAATCTGAATGAGAAGATATAAACAAGGCAGCAGAAACGACTGCGATAAATCAGGCAAATTAAAAACCATTAAATTATTGCAACACCAAACTCAAACATCACATCTGATATCTTACATCTAAGCAAAGAAAATGCATCCTTCAGCAAGCCTGCAGTGCCAGGCATTCATACACCTAATTAGCAGGTCAGAGGTTACCTCCGTACCCCCTAGGAACTTATAAAGTAAGCTGGGAGGAACACATACTGATTCAGCCTGATAAGAGAGCACTTTGAAGAGGTCCTTCTCCACATCAGCTCTGCACACATGAATATCTGCTTCACCATCGCCCTCCTTGCGTAATTTTGCAGACAGCTTTTCTATGCTCTGGAAAACAAAGCCGAAGCGTGACCCATGGAAGTCACAGACAGGTGTGTTTATGAAGAACTAGAACCAGAGAAGGACTTACATTCATGGCAATCTCTAAGAATTCATCAGCAACATCAGCTTTGCCAATATCTATCCACCCTTTTCCAGTTTTCATCGACATCTGCAGGAGAAAACGATCAGTGCTTTGTGAAGATCTGGTCACTGCCAGGGCAGTGATCCCTTAGATCCCTTCTTACTGATGCCTGTGTTATGTAGGAGAGGTATTCCAGCTCTTCAGTTTGTCACAAGTGTCTCACATACGAATGAACTCTGCTTGCAGCACAAGGCTCATGGTGCCCCACTACACAACACCGTAAGACACTGAAATAAATGAATGCGCCGCCCTTCTAACATTTTCACACATGACAAAGATGTGATGCTAACTGCACTGACTCAGCAAGGCACCCCTGTGATAACACAGGCCCACCTTCAGCATGCATCTTCTCTAGAATTACAGGCATAGCTCACTTTCCAAGCAACTGCAATAGGTTTTAAGGTTTCCCACACTGCTCACCTGCCCTGAGCCTTACCAAAATCTGCCTCCGAATGGTTCCCTCTGGAGGATCACTGCCTTCACAAAGGTGCACCAGCCTGCAAGCAACAAATCTCACTGCAAGAAAGTAAGGCAGATATTTCTAAGTTCCTTTCTGTTGTTGTTGAGAAAGTCAGGCCCTGCCACGTCCTAAAGATGGTTGAAACCTACGAGAGAGAAACTTTTGGAAGATTCGGAATTAAAATTTGAGTCAAGCTGCTTAGAATTGCTTTTCAGGCATCAAAAAGAAAACAAACCCACCCCAAGATACCAAGATATTCTCCTCAAAATGTCTATTAAACACTTTAGAGAGAGTTCAAGTCAAAGACACAGTATTCAAAGACTTAATTACACTGCAGGTGCTCACAGTGTCTTGAGCACCTCAAACAGCCTTCAGCAAAATGGGGAAATCAAGTTTAATAATCTTTACGTTTTCAAAGCAAAAAGCACAAGTATTTTCCGGCCTTTTTTATACACTGAGGGTAGAAAACACACCACTTAATGTATTTAAAATAGCCTCTCCCTGGCCCTTCAGCTGCGATATAAGATCTGAGAACATTATGTTCTACAACAATTACCACGTATTTTGTATAAACTTACCCTTTTCCCTTCACTTGACATCACTTACATGATGCAGATTATACTTAATTTTAATTGCTATCCCCTAAGAGAAAAATGTAGGCCAGATACTGCAGTCCTGCAGCTCCACATAAAGAACTGGTTGACAGCATAGAGTAAAAGCTCACTTTGCTTTCCCCCAGCCCTAAAGCAAACCCCCAGCTGTATACAGATGGTGTGTATAGGCTGCAGCTGCTAAGGCAGGGCAGTGAAAAAAAGGATTTAGATTTTTTCTGTACATAAATACAGGTAAGAGAATCACATCAAAAAAACCAACTTCACGTTTTAGAAATTGACAGTCAAAGATTTACAACAGAGTTATGTCCACACACTCACAGGCCTTAAAAAAATAGCATATTAAAATAGCATAAATAAAAGTCAATGCAGAGTTTCCTTTGGAAACATCACCTCTTTATTGATGCTCTGGCACAGGAGGAAGGAGTGATGCAAATACCAACACCAATTCTGTGTCACAAAGAAGATCTCTGTTACACCATGGTGATCCTCCCCAAACTCGTTGTGTAAGTCTAGCTGCTCAGTTTTCTGTCTATAGCCTATCTGCAAATATCCAAACCAACCCACAGCACCATGTATGCACCTGGCAGCAGGGAGCTTTTCCTTCTCACACTGCAGCACGAAAACACATTTAGAAAGGAAAAGAATGCATACATACATTTAGCTCTTTGTTCATCGCTGATGACAGAACCCGTGTGTTTGGTTACAGCCCAGTTCCACAGGCTTATTGCACCCTCTTCAACCTGAGAAAGAGAATTCCATTCCATTCAATTTTGTCCTAGGATTGGATTAAATTGAGATTTACTCCTGACAAAGCTACTATCTTTCATATTACCCACAAGTACAGGTTTGGACTATTCCTTTCTACAGGCTGGGTACTCCAAGAGACTTGGAAGCAGTTGGCAGGGACACACTCTTTTCACAAGCACATTTTATAACATATTCTCAGTCTTCTAACAGACAATCTCCCATCTTCTGAAAATTTGAGTGTGTCTCTGAGATGACAAAGGTAGGAAAGAACACAGCTGCAAATCAAATCACGACCTGAAACTAAAAAGAGCTAATTAATCATAAGATGGATAGCTGCAAGATATATGCCATGTCATCCATCAGTGCCTTCAGCTCCCATTTAAAGTTACACAAAACAGCAAATTCTGTTTGAGAAGCGGTGGACTTCAGAAACATTCAAATATGTTCCTAAACAAATCCCATTAATCTGTCATATTGCTGAAATAGCCTAACATATGTTTCTGTCAAGTCCTTTTCCAAGCCTAGCAAAACATGACCTGATTTACCCTTCCCATCTGGAATGAAGTTTTCTCACAAGCATTCATACATACAAAATTTGTGCAACAGCACATCACCACATCCAAAGCACAACTGATTCACTGGCAGCTTTCAGAATCCATTATGTACATTTTAAACAGACGTTGCAAAATTAGAAGGGAATGGAAAAGAGCTGTGAGAATTGTATCAGATTTGAACATGCATCTGTAGGACTTTAACTCTTAGGGCCGTATTCATAGAATTGTTGGAGGTGGAAGGGACCCTGAAAGGCCATCTGGTCCAACTCCCTGCCCTGAGCAGGGACACCCACAGCTCCATCAGAGCCTCATCCAGCCCGGCCTTGGCTGTCTGCAGGAATGGGGCACCACCACCTCTCTGGGCACCTTGTGCCACTGCCTCACAGCCCCTATTGTAAAGAACATCTCCTCCAACCTAAATCTCCCTTCTTTTAGTTTGAAACTATTTCCCCTCATCTTATATCACAACAGACCCTGCCACAGAGTCTGTCCCCTCCTTCCTTACAGCCCCTGTAGGTACTGACAGGCTGCTCTCAGCCCTTCCTGCAGCCTTCCCTTCTCCATGCTGCATAGCCCCAGCTCTCAGCTTGTCCTCACAGGGAGGCATTCCATCCCTGGCATCACTTTTGTGGCTCTCCTCTGGACATGCTCCAACAAGCCAATGATATTAAGTAGCTTAATTATTTTAAGTACCCACACAGAGAAACTTCTGATGTTATCAGACAAAGAACAAAAGCTAGAAACTTTTGTTAAAAGATGATGCAGCCTCGCATAAAGGCAATAAGATCTGTTAAGAATGCATCCCAGAGGGCTGTGGATTTTTCATCAGTCATAGCTTATGGAAGACATGCCTACAAGCAGGCGGTGGTAATACACCGGAATGTGACACACAGCACCCCATCCTGGACGTATCACAGCCTCATAGAGAGGGCTCGGCCCGGAATCAACGCGCCGAGTTCTCTCATTAAACACAATGCTTTGTATCGCATTCAGGCCGCTGAGTTAAAAGGTGAAAGCACCAAACTGAGAGCCCCAGACACGGGGAAGGAGAGGCGGTGCTCAGCGCCGTACCTCCGCCGCGCCGCCGTCCGCCTCGCCGAGGGCCCCCGCCGCCCGGAACAGCTCCTCAATGAGGGCCGCGATGCGGGGCGGGGCCTCCTCAACCAGCAGCTCGCGGAGCAGCTCTGGAAGACAAACCGGGAAGGGAGCAGTCAGGGGTGAGTCAGAGAGCGGCTACGCAGCCGCAGCCCCCGGGCGGGGATGGAAAACGGACGCTACCTCCCGCCGCGCCCAGCCGCCCGCCCACCATGGCCGATACCGTCCCTCAGCCCTGAGGAGACCGGCGGTACGGCAGGGCGCATGCGCGTCTCCCACGGCGCCGCGCTGCAGGCCGGGAGAGGAGTAACGCGCGGTGACTGGCTGCTCGGCTCGATCGCCCCGCCTTTCCGCCCCGCCTGGCCAATCAGACGGCGCGGCGGTTGGCCTGTCCGTTAGTCCGCTGTCCTGTGGGCGCCGCGCCGGTTCTGGAAGGATCCTGGGAGCACGGCCCTGCCGGGCGCGGGAGAGATGTCGGGGCTGCTTCACACCACGCTAAGCGGGCTCAACAGCGACTCCTACTGCGAGATCAGCCGTTACCGAGACCAGCACTTCCGGGTGCGCGCGGGGCGGGGGCGGCGGGGCATGAGGCGGCGGGGCCCGGCCGGTTCGGGGGCTGCCGACGGGGCGGGGCCGTGAGGGCACCGCGGGGTGTGAGCCCGGCGGGGTGTGAGCCCGCCCTGTGCTCGGCTTTGCCCTCAGGGGAGCAAAAAGCTGCAGGAGAAGTTCCTGAAGATCTCCTCCACGCTGTACGTGGGCAACCTGTCTTTCTACACCACCGAAGAGCAGATCCAGGAGCTGTTCTCCAAGTGCGGCGATGTCAAGAGGATCGTCATGGGGCTGGACAAGATCAAGAAAACACCCTGCGGCTTCTGCTTTGTGGAGTATCCTTTCTGATCCCTACTTGCAGTAAGCTCAGCTGTCAGAAGCCCTGAGAGGCGTGAAACTCACAGGGCTTCCTTCCAGGCACGTTGCTGCCTGCATTCCCATCACCACCCAAATCGTACTGTGCTGCCATGGGTGAAGGTCCTGCGTGGATGCTGAGCCCTTGTGTGGCCCAAGCTAAGGGCACGTGTTTGCGTTCTCACCTTGGCTTCACACCTGCAGAACCAGCAGAGCAATCTGTGGCGCTGCTCCCAAGCGCAGGGAATGCGTTTGTGCACGCTGTGCTGTGAGCTGTCCCCACAGAGCTCTCCTGGTGCCTCCTGCTCAAATTCAGTTGAGTTTAATATCGTATTAAAAAGCATCAGATTTCTTGCCCTTAGCAAGGTTCTAACAATTTGTTTTATCTACTTGTGAAATAAGTGATCCAAAGCTATTTCTTGTCTGTACAGGTAGCAGCATTACAGTCAGAACCTGAGGAAGGAGAGGGAGCTGTTTTAAGCTTGGATTTATACGAGTGCAGCTTTTTGATCCCATAGAAAAGAGCAGGAAAAGTAGCAAAGGCTGGAAGGCAGGGAAGGCTCTTCTGCTTAAGTACAATGGTTTGTTATTGTTTCTTTTTTTTGCCCGCAGCCAACAAAACAGCAGGTTTGGTTCTCCTTACAGTGTGTTTCAGATATTACACGAGAGCAGATGCTGAACACGCAATGCGATTTATCAATGGCACGCGGCTCGACGACCGCATCGTTCGGACAGACTGGGATGCAGGATTCAAGGAGGGACGGCAGTATGGAAGAGGAAAGACTGGTGGGCAGGTAAAGGCAATAGCAGCTCAGACCTCGAATGCAATCCCCTTAGGGGAGTCCTGTTTTGCTCGTTTTGTCTCATGCAGAACAAAGTGCAGACGGTAAGGAGCCAGCAATGAATTTTAGGTGATTTTGGTAGCCAGTGCTACCTTGGTATTAAGATCTGGAAGTGTAACTATGGTTACAACCGGACAGGATCCTACAATTCCTGACAGTACAAGCAGGATTTTCCTTGTCCCAGGCTAGCGCTCTTTAAATGATGCAGACTTTGAATGGAAAGGGAGCGCAACTTCTAGATCAATCTCCTGACCCATCAGTTTGCACTGTTAGAAGCTAGATTTCCCTTCCAGATTTCTGGAGGGCTGGGGAAGGGAGAAATGCTTTGGAGGCCAAGCCTAGCAATTCAGAAGGTTGGAAGCTGGATGACAAAGCTGAATCAAAATATTTGGGGATCTTTGCTTCCCTTCTAAAAAGTCATCAGCCAGCAGATGTATCTTCATTTGTCACTTGCACCATCTGTCTGGTGGGTTGTTTGAAGGGATTTCAAGTTGAACCAAACTACTTCTCACCTGAACTTCATTTCTCAACCTGCTGAGCAAGGAAATGGTGATGACTGTGAAGCCTAGCATGGTGCTAACACCTGTGTTACTGCCTTGCTCCAGGTGCGAGATGAATACCGGACAGACTACGATGTGGGAAGAGGCGGTTTTGGCAAGATTATACAGATGCAGAAGGCAAATCAACAGCCTGCAGTCTATTAATTGCCTCATGGGTGTTAGCTCATAGAGGGCTCTGCTCTTCTTGAGCTAGCCGTGTTCTCGCGTTTTGGATTGGGGTAGGGAGTGAGATCCAAGTTCCAGCCAAAGGTGACCCTCCTTAGACTGTGGATATACATGTGTTCATTCCCCCTTTCTTCTGGGTTAGAGAGGATGTTCTGTGCTGATACAGGGCAACAAGGGAAACAAATGGACAACTGCAGGATTCTGGTAAGAAGAAATGCAGCATGTCACACGCACCTCATGCTAGGATGCATTCTGCATTACAGCTAAGCAGGTGGCTTCTTCCGAGCCATGATTGCAGCTGTGGTTGCTCTCAGATAAAACTTTGTGAACTGTGCCATTGTTGGAGCCCTCTGGATGCCCGGGCACTTTGTTGGGATGCACAGAACTTTCAGAGTTCTAATTTACAAGCTCATCTGCTTACAAAGCAGTATCACTATTTGTGTGAGAGAAGCTGAGCAAGGTCTTGCTGTCCACTTGGAGGTGCTTGCCTGTACATCTAGCCCTTGGGTTGGTCATGGCCTGCAGAGCCTTTCTCTTTATGATGCCCCAGTGCTGCCTGCTTTTTCAGATCCTCACTGTTTGGCATGATTTTGTTAAAAGTTTCTTTCAATTTTTAAAATAAACAGTGAGTCCTGTACCTGTTGCAATCTGTTCATCAAAACCTCTGGCTCCATGACAAGAGCTGGAGGGAACATTTCCTGATGGTATTTTAAAGTTGCTGTCACTTGCAAACACAAAATGGAGAGCATACTGAAGGAGGGCACAAGTCTTGCTGTATTTCTGTTGGCTTCCCTTACTACTGGCTTTTCCTCTTCTGCTTTGCAATAGCTGATGGCTGATATCAGAGGGCAAGTGCTTATAAAGTCTATAGCTGCTCTGAGTTAGAAATCCTTACATTTCATACCAACAGATTCCGGGAAAGCTTGTGATCTTGTCAATTGTTCCACAGGGTGAAACATATATGAAGCAATACAAAAGTGTGATGTGCATTTCAGAGAAGAAGGAACCAGAAACTCCCTTCCCTGTGTTCATGATAGACTTTCTTCCCCATTTAAGAGAAGCATGGCTGATACTCTTAAATTTTTCCTAGGTCCAAACAAGGGACCAGAGAAGATTAAAACCTCCACTGATCCGTCCCCCAAAACCTCCCAGCCAGGGTTAGTGATTTCATTGGACAAATTAAATTCTGACTAATTTGGTTTAGTATGATGTCAATAATAGTAGCTGCTCCTTGTCCAGTAGTATGTAATCACAATTGTTCATGGGCTGTCTCATCCAAGATAATACATACTGTAATGTTGCACACCCATGTGTAGACCAGGCATTATCATTTAAATAACTCTCACATTACTGAGGAGGATGGGATGGTAGCATTAATGTCCTGAAACGTCTCCTACTTGCTTGTTTTGCAAGTCAGGTTGCTGCATTCTGACAGCTGTCACAAGTCCTGAAGGAGCTGCATGTTTAGACCTCACCTGACTGAAGAAATGACAGAGTTGACAAGTCTGTGATACGAGCTGCCCCCTGAGATGCAGGGAAAAGGAGCAAGATGCTGAATTTAAAGGGAAAAATCTGAGCAGTTGTCTGCCCAGCCTGGCAAAGCAGCATCACGTGAGGTCCTTTGGGGGGGATATGGATTACACAGAAAAATTGCTTGGGCAAACAGCTAGCAGAAGATGTGAGAAAAACAGGGAAATCTGCTGTGAAACTCTTCTGGTAGCAACAGAATCTCATTTATATGAGGCAGGGAGACAAGGCAAGCTCTTGGTTTGCCCCTGATATGGCCTGTTGGTCATGTAATTCCTACGTGTGTGACAGAACATGCAGAAATCCGTTTAGTCGAGCACCTGCGTGGGCTGTTCCATGATTGTGGCAAGCATGTCTGTCCCTGCTTCCCAAGACACTGCAATTTCTTCTCTGCACAGGTCTGCTTGTCCTGCTCATCTTTGCCTGGAGGGAGATACCTCCCTTCTCCAGCAGGTCCCAGACCAGTGTTGGCAAGCTGTGCACCGTTCCCCTTTCGGCGTAACGTTTGCAAAGAGATTTGTGCTGACATTTATTCAAATACACGTATTTGCTTAAAAGAATCCATCTCAAATACTACAGCTGCTGTAAATGCCTTCCTTCTAAAGCCACCCATCCCACAGAGAATTAAAGAGAGATGAGAAGGTTTACAAGTAAGTAGGCAATCCCAGCTCTTAGCCTGGGCTGCAGCACGTAGGTACCTACATGGCACCACACTGCAGCAGTCAGAAGAGCCACCCTTGCCAGGGGTGTGATCAAAGACCAGCGCTGCCAGCATGCTGGAGCAGCCCCTCCTGCCCTGGCTGCACTCCTTGCTGAAGCACTGTGCCCAAAAACCTCAGGCTCCAGGGTTGCTTTTCAGGCATCTTTCATCAGGCACACAAAGGCGCCGGTAGAAGAAAAAGTCCTTTGTCCTCACAGAACTGGGGCAGTGCCGAGCAGGGCAGCACAGCCAGCAAACCGAGACACCTGAAGTGACCCAAGGGAAACAGCGCAGCTGGGAACAGGCATGCAGTGACCGACTCTAAGAGCTGCTAGCAGTTAACTTGCTGCAGGTAGCAGCCCGGACCTGATTCTCTAGCAAAGAAGTCTGATGCTGAGTTCACCACAAGAGCTTACACGCTCTTCAGGCTTAGCTGAGTCTCTCCACTGGATCCCGTGTGTGTTGCACAGACCCTATCACTCCGGGACAGAATTAAGTTTAGCAGCGGAGCAGTTCTGGCAGGCAATGCTCCTCCTCACTCTCATTCTCACTCA